AGCGGGAGGGGGGAGGCTGGGTGTGACTGAAGAGAGCTCTGGAGAGAGCGGGGGGGCTTGGGGTACAGTCGGGGGGAGGGCTGAGTGCGACTGAGGGGACATGTCTGGGGCGGGGCAGGCTGGGTGTGACTGAGGGGCGCTCCAGGGACAACGGGAACTCTGGGGGGACAGGCTGGGTGTGACTGAGGGGAGCTCTGGGGGGACAGGCTGAGGGGACATGTCGAGGGGGCAGGCTGAGTGTGACTGAGGGGCGCTCCAGGGACAATGGGAGCTCCGGCGGGGCTGGGTGTGACTAAGGGCACGTGTCGGGGGGGGGGGCGGGCGGGAGGCAGTCTCTGGGAGGCGGGACAATACCTACCAACCAGGTAGTGTGGGGGTGAGGCGGCAGGACGGATTACAACAAGTCCCGGTTGTTTGACCACAGACTCCCAGCCTGCACCAGCTCCCCGCTCGCTCGCTCGCTCTCAGGGCTTCAGCAGGGTCGACAGCCGTCTCCACCAATCAGAACTAGGCGTCCTGCCAGCTGCGGGCCAATAGGGATGCCCAGGTCGGAGCGGCCCGCCACTGTACTTTGGAGAGGAGACTCCCGGGGGAAAGTGGAGGAATAAAGAGGCTGATTGGTTCCTCAGGCCCCTGGATCACCAGTCAGAGGACGGGAGCCGGAAGAGGTTGGCCAATCAGAGGGGAGGACGGAAGAATGGTGCCGTTGCGGTAAGACTGAAGCTTACCGGCGTTCGCTAGCCCGTGTGGCAGGGCGCGTGGCGCCGCCGTTACCCGTCCTAGCTGGCGTCGATTCTGATTGGTCGTTGTCCTCGCGGCCTATCATAACCTTTCCCTGCTCTCGTGGGTGGGTGGTCGTCTCCCATTGGTGGCGGAGACCAGAGGCGTGCGCAAGGTGGGGCCGTTACAGGCTGCTGCGCGCGCCGAGGGAGGGCGCAGGGCGTGGGACGGTGATGAAGGGAGGCACGGAGAGGGGGAAGATGGCTGCCCGGCAGTGGAGGTGAGAGAGTCTCATGGAGCCCCTCTGGGAGGGGCTGCCAGGGGGGAGAGGCGCCACTTCCCATGATGCCCCGGGGCGAGGGAGTGGGGCTGCTCCCCAATAGTTCTGTGTGGGCCGTTGGACTGGGTGTTGCCCACCCCCCAGGATACAGTGGGGCTGTGTGCTCCCCGACCCGTAATGCACCGGGCCAATGGGTTGTGTGCGGTGGGTTGTACATTCCCCGCAACGCACTGGGGTGCGGAGTGGGGCTGCTTTTCCCCCCTCCCCCCCCACCACACACACAGTGCATCAGGGCAGTGAGCCAGGGGCTGCCTGCCCCTCGTAGCGTGCTGTGCTGATGGATCAGGGCTGCCCAGGCACGGTGAACCAGAGTGGAGGGTTCACTATGCCTCTTCTCCCCCCATTGATGTGGTGGAGCAGGGCTACCTGCATGTCCCCAGTGTGATGGAATGGTGCTTCTCCTTGACACAATACACTGGTGGTGTGGTGCTCGTGTGACCAGAGTGTCAGGAACTTCAGACACTTCCAGATATGTGGAAATGGTCAAGAGATTTATTCCAGGGAAAGGACATACCCCAGAACTGGTTCTGGGATATCTGGGGTTAAATGCATTCCCAACATTCTCCTTTCTAGAGTCCCTTCTCTTGACATTTTCTTTTCCTTCACACATGCCTCCGTCCCAACTTAAAATGTAGGTACATATCTGATTTGTTGACTGCAGTCCCCTGTGCATCAACATATACTTGATTTTGCCCTAAATCCCTAAGTGGCCCCCTCAAGGACTGAACTCACAACCCTGGGTTTAGCAGGGGGAGGGATAGCTCAGTGGTTTGAGCATTGGCCTGCTAAACCCAGCATATACTTGAGTTCTTGCACTCCAACATGTTTCTTCTAAGAGCTCCTTCCTGCCACTGGACTTTCCATATGTCGATCCTCTGAGACTTGCTCCTACTTCAGTGTGCAACCAAAGTCTCCTCCTCTTCCTGACAAGTATAAAGCTGACATTTCCTCATATGAATCGCTCCTTTTGGACATTGTACATCACCTTTCTGTTGCTTCCTTCTGTGTAACCCTAATGTTATAAATATTTCTTTGCTCCTGAATATGGCAAAATTCTTAGCAAATATCCTGATTGATAGGGTGTACTTGTGTGTATGCATAATGTAGGGGTGTTTAATATATGGGAGATGTGCATGGTAATGTTGAATTATGTTATTTTAAAAGGGACATTTTAGTTTGGGGGTTGTAAATAGGTAGGTGGAATTGTGGAAACTGTATACCAGCATATGGTTTAAGGAAGAGCGGTATTAATTTAAGAAGCAGGAGGCTGACTTTTCTTTGTATTTTACAGATGTCAACTATGCTGAGGTCTGCATGTGTCCTATATTGAAGTCTGGCTCCACGACTACATTTTGCTTCACTGTGAACTTAATCTTTTCCTGTATTTTACAACACTGTACGTTGTTGAGGTGCATATATCTACTGGTCTTAATATTAAAGCAATAGTTGATTATAAACCCTTCAAACTGACCTCTTGGCATCTTATTACTGTTTTAGATTTGCTTCTACTGCTCATTTTACAATGGTTTATTGCTCAGCTTTGAACTGTCAAAATGCTACGAGTGGGGTATATAAGAACAGTACAGTTACTTTCTATGGCTTTCCTTTACATAACAAACCTCTCTTGAAGCAGTGGATTCACAACATGGGTCGGGAAATGGGAACTCCATCGAAACATCAGCGACTATGTTCTAAACATTTTGAGGACAGTTCTTTTGAAATTGATCCTCTAAAAATTAGGAAAAACCGGCGCCTACTGAAAGAAGCAGTTCCCAAAAAATTCATTTTGGGCGAAGACGGAAACTGGCTTGTTGGAACACCTCAAAGTTTCTGTGGTGGAATAAGTAATAAAACTCGAAAACGAATCCGGAATCCTGAACATTTGAAGGTAATTTAAATATTTGATATTCTATTTGTTTCTCTTAAATTAAGAGAGCATAATAAGAGAATACTTGGATGGGAATTCTCCAAGGGAATACCTAGGTGCTGCAGGAAATAAAAAATATAAATGATTCAGTAGGTTGCACTTTTCCCTTTGAGTTGCTACTTAACATTGTGCACCATAGAGTTAGGAGGCATATGGTTGTTGAGCTCTTGTGAATACAGAAAATATCATGGTACTTTTCTCTTGATCCTGTTTCAGCTCGTGCAATTACATTCTGCCCAAGTAAAAATTTCTGCTTGGCATTTCAGTTGGATACTGTACTCTTCTTTACTTCCTGCTCTAAAATGGATCCTGAGCCTGCAAACCTGTACTTGTATGAGTGAGTAATCCTTACTCATGGGAATAATCTCCTTTGATTTGGGATGACTTGTTTGTAGTATAGAGCTTATGCTATGTACTATTGTTGTAGCCAGCATGTTAGAGAGAGAAGAGTGGGAGATTATATCTTTTATTGGACCAGTTTTTGATAGTGAAAGGCAAGTTTTTGAGCTACACAGACCTCTTCTTCAAATCTGGGCAGACCTTGCTGGGGACTGTTAAACAGTGTCTTAGGCCTGGTGTGGGGGATCGATCTAAGTTACACAACTTCAGCTACGTGAATAACTTAGATCTACTTACCGCCGTGTCTTCACTGTGGTAAGTCAACTGCTGACGCTCTCCCGTTGACTCCGCCTGCGCCTCTCGCTCCGGTGGAGTCGACGGGAGAGCGCTTGGCGGTCGATTTAACGCGTCTTCACTAGACGTGATAAATCGACCCCTGCTGGATCGATCGCTCCGGAGGTAAGTGTAGACATGCCTTAAGTTTCGGTTCAATTCAGTATCTTGTACATCAGTTTTGGGTGGCGTTTAGGACCAGATATTACAAACCATCATCTGAGTAGTGTTTACTCATGGAATAGTTTCCTAGTGTAAAAGTGAATATTCATATGACTACAGATTTGTAGAACTGGATCCATAGGTTGTACAATTGATAACATTTGTGAAACACTTAGATACCCCTTTGAATGAAAGGCAATACATAAAGGCAGAGTGTTCGCTCCTAATATTACCAAATGGATACAAGCCACGTGGGAACAATAATACTGATCAGGCAAGTATTGATACAACTTTACATGTAGTTTGTGTCTTTTAATATTAAAATTAATTGGGCCGGGAGCTACAAGCTAGATGTGAAATTGGCAGTCTTGGATGTATTTGCACTAGCTTTTCATTGATTTTTTTTTTTTATTTTCTAAATGTTATGTTTATAACTGTAGGAGCAAAGAAACATGTCATCAGAGATTGTTTAATCTGTGTGGAGGTTGTGGGCATTACACAAGATTCAAGGCCAAAAGAAGCACTTCCTATCTGGGAAATGGAAGAGGAAGTGGATTTAAGAAACTGCAGCTATAATACTGCACTCAACTCTGCTCACCTCAAATCAGAAAGATCTAGATGAGTTGTAAGGAAATGAAAAAAGGAGCAACAAAATAGATTAAAGGGTTGGAGGGTTTGATTTGTAAGGAAAGATTTAAAAAACAATTTTTTTTAAATATGTATTGGTGAAGGAGCGATACAACAGTCTGCCAGTATTTGGAAGGTATAAATGCTAAAGAGGGAGAGGAATTATTCAGTGTGGTACAAGACAGTATAGAAGTAAGGAATTGTAAATGAGCAAAGGAAAATTTAAGTTGATTATCAGGAAAAAGAAATCCTGGCAGTGAGATCTATTAAACTGTGGAGATGCCTCATAGCTTGAATAATTTAAAATACATTGGACAAAGAAAGCACTGAAGAGTGTGCTGAAGAGAACAAGTGCACTGAGTTTCAGAGATTGGCCAAGATGACTTTAATAGTCTTTACTTCTACCTTTTGATTCTGTTGCTTGGGAAGTCATGATTTCAGTGAAGAGCTAAGGAATACCACCTTGAAACGATTATACTGACTTTGAGAGAGACATAGACATAGCAGTATAAATATCTAATTCCTCTTTGTAAAGGAGATATACAGTAGCATGAGTGCCATCAGAAACATCCAGCAAATGTCTGCTCATTTAATATTCTCAGAAAGGCCCTTGTCAGGATGTAATCATAGGTACTAAGTTTGCAATATTTTTTATTTCAGGTCCCAGGGACATTTGATAATGTTGCAGCTCCTGAAGGGAAGAATTTAGAAGAGTGGCAAAAAGAGCTTTACAAAAAAGTGATAAAGGACAATTATGAATCTTTAATCTCACTGGGTAAAGGTCAGTTTTCACTCATTCTCTGGAAGTTGTGAAATATGTACAGTTCTTGGGCTGGCTCCAGTCTGGTTTCTCAAATCCTTTGATTGCTGGTGGATCAGTTCTTAGATGTTCCAAAACCTTTGACAGAAGATCAACTCCATACGTCCTTTTCTGTAAAAGGAGATTGATAGACACAGTCATGTTTCTAATACCGCTATATCCACCGTTTTCCTTCTGTGAATAATGTTTATGCACTATTTAGTTGTGTATGTTGAACAACACATGCACAGATGCTATTTTCCATGTGTGATGTGGATGAAACATTCCTTCAGTAAAGGATATTTCAAGAATAAAGTAGTTAAGTAATTTGTGATTATATCCCTTCTAATTTATATGCCAACTCTAAAACAAGAAAAAATGACAATGGGAAAGATTAGGAGTGTGTTCTCTTCCTCATGAAGGGGATCTGGACTTTCAGCTGATTTATAAACTGCCAAGTGGTTTAGTACATGTGGTGTGATTGGGATTCTCCCTGAATTTCCTGAAGGGAGCAAAACTCAAACATTCTGCCTGTCTGCAGGATCTTTATTAAAGTAATCTGCAAATCCTTTCTGATCTTTTTTAGGATTACTTATATTTTAGCATGTATTTTTTTTTAGTTCTAAGATTATTTTTACCCCCCCCCCCTTAAAGTTTGTCTTTTGGGCACATACTTTCATCCTCAGCAGTTTTTGCTTAATTTTAGGTGAAAGAATTACATCACAAACCCCATGGACCTTTTAATCATGAAGTTGTAGTGTGAGCTGCTCCTAGTCTGATTCCCTCCTTCCCCACCTCACCTCCTCTCCCCTCCCAGTACCTGGTCTGTATACAGTTTTTGTACTGACTTAACTGCTATGGTAATGGTGGTGGGGGGTTATCGAAGTAGTTAAATTAGTACAACCCCATGTGTGGTGCTGTTTCAGAAAATTAGGAACACCTGTAGAAAAAAAAAACAATAGCCACCTGTGAAAATGTTGGTTTAAGTGACTTGCTCAGCATCACATGGGAACTCTGCGGCAGAGGCAGAGATAGAATCCAGTTCTCCAGGGCACTATTCAGTGGCATTAACCATGAGGCCACCCTTTCTCTTCCTGCAATTCCCTGCCTCATTTGCTGCACACCTTCCAACTTCTGCAACAAATGAAGCAGGAGTCCTACAGACTAGACAACAACCTCTTTCACAACACAACCCATATCTATTGTCAAAGCACAATCCGTCTTTTACAAGGAATTGGGCAGGAGTTGTTTGAAAACATAGTCTTTAATTATGTGATGATATACTATCATAATGCATAAGCACAAGGGGGCTGAATTAAGATTATAGGTGTCCTTCATTCATGCTTGATTTTGTAACCTTAATGTTCTTTTAATGTAGTTTTTTGGATGAAATTTCTTAAGTATTCCTTTTTTAATTTATCCTGAGGAACCATATTGTCCTTCCCACATGGGTCATCAGCAGAATTAGGATCTTTAGATCCATACAGACCTCTACCACTTGAGGTAATAGAGTAAGTGGAAGGAGTAGAAGGTTTTTATAATTTGTGAGGATGTGGCACTAGAGGGGGATGGTGATACATACTTAGCCAGTGGAAAGCAACAAAGTGTCCTGTGACTCCTTAAAGACTAACAGATGTATTGGAGCATAAGCTTTCGTGGGTGAATGCCCACTTCTTCAGATGCATGTAATGGAAATTTCAGAGGCAGATATAAATATGCCGGCAAGAATCAGTCTGGAGATAATGAGGTTAGTTCAATCAGGGAAGGTAGGGCCCTCTTCTAGCAGTTGAGGTGTGAACACCAAGGGAGGAGAAACTGCTTTTGTAGTTGGCTAGCCATTCACAGTCTTCGTTTAATCCTGATCTGATGGTGTCAAATTTGCAAATGAACTGAAGCTCAGCAGTTTCTCTTTGAAGTCTGGTTCTGAAGTTTTTTTGCTGTAAGATGGCTACCTTTACATCCGCTATTGTGTGGCCAGGGAGGTTGAAGTGTTCTCCTACAGGTTTTTGTATATTGCCATTCTTAATATCTGACTTGTGTCCATTTATCCTTTTACGTAGGGACTGTCCAGTTTGGCCAATGTACATAGCAGAGGGGCATTGCTGGCACATGATGGTGTATATAACATTGGTGGACGTGCAGGTGAATGTACCGGTGATGTTGTAGCTGATCTGGTTAGGTCCTGTGATGGTGTCGCTGGTGTAGATATGTGGGCAGAGTTGGCATGGATTGGTTCCTGAGTAAGAGTTGTTATGGTGCGGTGTGTGGTTGCTGGTGAGAATATGCTTAAGGTTGGCGGGTTGTCTGTGGGCGAAGACTGGTCTGCCTCCCAAGGTCTGTGAAAGTGAGGGATCATTGTCCAGGATGGGTTGTAGATCACTGATGCGTTGGATAGGTTTAAGCTGAGGACTGTAGGTGATGGCCAGTGGAGTTCTGTTGGTTTCTTTCTTGGGCTTGTCTTGTAGCAGGAAGCTTCTGGGTACACATCTGGCTCTGTTGATTTGTTTCCTTATTTCCTTGTGCGGGTATCGTAGTTTTGAGAATGCTTGGTGAAGATCTTGTAGGTGTCGGCCTCTGTCCGAGGGGTTGGAGCAAATGAGGTTGTACCTCAGTGCTTGGCTGTAGACGATGGATTGTGTGGTGTGTCCGGGGTGGAAGTTGGAGGCATGAAGGTAGGCATAGCGGTCGGTGGGTTTTCGGTACAGGGTGGTGTTAACGTGACCATCACTTATTTGTACTGTGGTGTCTAGGAAGTGGACCTCCCGTGTAGATTGGTCCAGGCTGAGGTTGATGGTGGGGTGGAAGCTGTTGAAATCGTGGTGGAATTCTTCCAGAGTCTCCTTCCCATGGGTCCAGATGATGAAGATATCATCAATATAGCATAGGTGGAGAAGGGGTGTGAGTGGACGCAAGCTGAGGAAGCGTTGTTCCAGGTCAGCCATAAAAATGTTGGCATATTGTGGGGCCATGCGGGTGCCCATGGCAGTGCCACTGGTCTGGAGGTATATATTGTCACCAAATTTGAAATAATTGTGCATGAGGATAAAGTCACAGAGCTCAGCAACAAGCTGTGCTGTGTCATCATCAGGGATACTGTTCCTGACAGCTTGTATTCCATCGGTGTGTGGGATGTTTGTGTAGAGAGCCTCCACATCCATGGTAGCTAGGATGGTGTTTTCTGGGAGATCACCAATGCATTGTAGTTTTTTCTCAGGAAATCCGTGGTGTCACGGAGATAGCTGGGAGTGCTGGTGGCATAGGGTCTGAGTAGAGAGTCCACATATCCGAACAATCCTTCAGTGAGAGTGCCAATTCCAGAGATGATGGGGCGTCCAGGATTTCCAGGTTTGTGGGTCTTGGGTAGTAGATAGAATAACCCCGGTCGGGGCTCTAAGGGTGTGTTGATTTGTTCCTGTGTTAGTATAGGGAGTGTCCTGAATAGATGGTGCTGTTTCTTAGTATATTCCTCAGTGGGATCTGAGGAAAGTGGCCTGTAGAATTTGGTATTGGAGAGTTGTCTGGCAGCCTCCTTCTGGTAGTCAGACCTGTTCATGATGACAACAGCACCTCCTTTATCAGCCTCTTTGATTATAATGTCAGGGTTGTTTCTGAGGCTGTGGATGGCATTGCGTTCTGCACGACTGAGGTTATGAGGCAAGCGATGTTGTTTTTCCACAATTTCTGCCTGTGCATGTCGGCGGAAGCATTCTATGTATAGGTCCAGACTGTCATTTTGACCCTCAGGAGGAGTCCATGTGGAGTAGTTCTTCTTGTGTTGTTGGTGGGAGGGTATCTGTGTACCAGTGCACTGTTCAGTGTTATCTTGAAAGTATTCTTTGAGTCAGAGGCGGTGAAAGTAGGCTTCCAGATCACCGCAGAACTGTATCATGTTCGTGGGGGTGGTAGGGCAAAAAGAGAGTCCCCGAGATAGGACAGACTCTTCTGCTGGGTTGAGTGTGTAGCTGGATAAATTGACGATATTGCTGGGTGAGTTAGGGGTACCACTGTTGTGGCCCCATGTGGCAGGTAGGATTTTAGATAGCTTACGGTCCTTTTTCCTTTGTAGAGCGGTGAAGTGTGTAATGTAGATCTCTTGTCTTATTTTAGTAAAATCCGTTTGTGTGGAGGGTTGGTTATTTATGAAAGTCTCCAGGTTGGAGCGCTCTTTTTTGATGTTTTCCTGTTTGCTGTATAGGATGCTGATCAGGTGGTTCCTCAGTTTTTGATAGTGTATGGCATAATCTCTCACTGTGGTCTGTGCAGTATGTAAATTAAATTAAATTAATGGAGATATTCTATCTCCTAGAACTGGAAGGAACCTTGAAAGGTCATCGAGTCCAGCTCCCTGCCTTCACTAGCAGGACCAAGTACCGATTTTGCCCCAGATCCCCAAGTGGCCCCCTCAAGGATTGAACTCACAACCCTGGGTTTAGCAGGCCAATGCTCAAACCACTGAGCTATCCCTCCCATGTAGATAGCAATGGATTTTTCACCGTCAGTCCATTTGGTAGGATGTCCATCCGTTTGCATTGGGACATCAGTGGGTTTCAGAGGTATTTGCTAGACTGCAAAGGAATATTAAATGGACTGAATGACATGTTCTTTGGAGAGTGTTTTCTAGTGACTATAGAGCCTTCCACCCCTGTGTTCCCAGCCTCCCGTCTGCTCTTATCCCCTGGCAGACTCCTGCCCCTTCTCCTAACATCCAGTGTCTTCTGCCCCAGCTCTGCATCTCTTTTCTCCTCACCTCTCTGCCTTTGAATCAGGCAGCTTCATCCTTCTCCACGCTACCTAGGTGTCTGCACCAGGAGCATTGAAAGCATAGGAGAGAGAGTCTCCCTGCTCTTGGTTTTAGTGTCTGGTGTTAGTGTCCCCCAGCAGGTAGGAAGAGCAATTGCAGGGAAAGTCCTGCTCAGCCCATGCATCCCTGGGATAGAGCATGCTCAGTTGCTCTCTAGGGATGGTGCAGTGCAATCTGTCAGTACATAGGAGTTGTGTGGGGATGGAGAGGAAAATGCTATTTGCAGCTGCAAGGTGTGCAAATAGCAGTGATGTCAGCAAGGGGCAGAGTTTAAATTCCAGTCCCTTGGGTTTTCATGGCGAGGTCAAAGCCACTGTTTTTAAACAGACATTCATGAAAACAGGGATTTTGACAAAAATAAATAAGTAGACCAAAAGTCTCATAAGCTGAAAAGGTGAACAGACTTAAAAATGGTCACCTTTAACACTGTTACCTCTGCTCAGTTTACCTACTATCACAGCAATGTAAGCATCTTAGTTTCAGATAATGTGACATTCTTTGAAGTTTAAAAAATAACCAGTGAATATTAAGATATTATGGGAATTTTTTTTGTTCTTTGTCCAAACTATTCAGTCTCCAAACATGATATGCAGTCTAGAGAAGAGCTACGTGTCAAGGCTCAGCGGGGCTTTGAGGAAAAAGAAATGTCTATGAATCCTCGCATAGGTGAGTAATGGATTAAGACATCTCAGAAGAGTAAATGACTTAAAGCTGGCAAGAGAAACCATCATGATGAACTCTTATAGTTCTGTCTTTTCTCATGTATTGCTATTTTATAACAAGATCTTCTCATAAGTTCATTATAGATATGGGAACCAGTGAACTTTCTGGTCTAAGGCAGTTTCTCTCCTTTCATCCCTCCAATTTCTGAGTGTTTGGATGAAATGTTGTGTTATTACTAGTATTTTTTTAATATTAAAAATCATACTGATATAAATTTACATAACCTTTTTTTAAATAAATGGTATGATATATGCCCTACCTGGCAGAACATGTGGTCTAAGATGAAACATCTCTTTTGGTACTTATATGGCCACCATTACTAACATGGAAAAATAATTTAGGAAGGGTGATGGTGGTGAAGAATTATTAGTAAGGAGCATGAGGTAGGGAGAATTCCATGAGATGTTTTAACAAAAGGTTTGAAGGAGGCAAGAGAGGATGCTTGGCAAAGAGGGATGATGTCCCAAATGTAGGGGCACTCTAAGGAGCAATGCTAAGAGTCGGAGAAGGGAGCAGTAAGGTGAGAGAACAGGGGAAATATAGAGGGAGTAGGGGGAAATGAAAGCAGAGATGTTGGAGACAGGATGATACGTGCGTTGAAGGAAAGGACATATTTCTATTTAATGCAGTAAAAAAGAGGGAGCAAGTGAAGGGGGCAGGGAGTTAAGTGATTCAGTTTGAGTGACAGGGAGAAAGATGACACTAGCAGCAGCTTATTGTATGGAGTAGAGTGGAAGGGGTTAGAATCAAGGCAGCCACAGAGAAGGTTACAAAAATCAAGAAGTGAGATGGCAAAGGTATGGACAAGGGCTTTGGCAGTAGCAATAGAGAGGCACAGGTGGATTTTGAGGGTATTAAAGTTGCAGAATCTTCATTACTGGTGATATTCATGGCTTCTAATAGGGATGGTTTACGAAGTCAAATCTATCTGGTTAAAATGCATGGAGATAGATTAGATGACATAATGTGGAGTTCTTTCAATCTAAATTATTTAAACTTCTGGAATTGGCAGCTTATGAGAGGCATTTCATATGCAAAAGTTTGAGTGACATACATTATTTACTGGTCCGATAAGTTATCACTTTTCTGTTTTTTGTTTCCCTCAAGGAGCAATATGACCTACAAGCATTGTGTGCATTATGGATCAGGAATGTTTTATTCTTAGGAGATTTCCTTTTCCCAAGCAGATGAAATGAATGATTGGATTCTTTTTATTCCAGTGGATGATGGGATTGAGATCAAAACTGAAGTGCAGGATAATGAGGAAGCTCCAGAAAATATGAAACTGCATGGATCGTTTTCAGGAAGATCAGAAGACCTGGTTTTCCAAACTCCTGACAAGGGAATAACTTGCGAGAGTCATTGGAGCACAGCAACAGAGCCGTTGAATCTTTCTGGAAGCAGAATGGGTAACTCGACTCTTGGGAAAGGAGATTCCAATACATTCAAAGATATCCTTTTCTACCAGGAGACACCCACAGGAGAGAGACTATACCTATGTACAGAATGTAAGAAAACCTTTAAATTGAAGATAGGTCTTTTAAAACACAAGCGAATTCATGCAAAAAAGAGTCCTGTATCATCATACATATGTACAGACTGTGGAAAAAGCTTTGGTCGCCATGCAGATCTTATTAGACACCAGAGAACTCACACGGGAGAGAGACCCTATAAATGTACAGAATGCGAGAAAAGCTTTACTGAGAAACCAAGACTTACTAATCACTTACGGACTCACAACATCTGCCTGTAATCACTGTGGCAAAAGCTTTATGGGAACTCATTTTCTACTCAGTCACCAACAAATCCATCTGAGAATATGGACCATACACATGTACCAACTATGGGAAAAGCTTTTGTGTAAGAAGACATTGTATAACACTGAATTGGATCTGTCATTGTAGCTCATCGGTTTAAACCTTGAGAAGCAACTGAATTTATTAGCTATCAAAATGATTCATGCAAGGGGGGAGAACGGACATATAAAAGTGTATTGACTATACCAAAATTTTTATTCAAAAAAGCATATTCTAAAATACCAACTAACCTATACTAGAGAGAGACTGTGTCATTGCAGAAAACATGGGAGAAGTTTGACATGAGGAACCTTTGATCACATCACCAGAGAATTTACGGAACAGAGCAAGATCATTCACAGAATTTTAGATAGAAATTAGAGCTTCAAAGAGCCTTAGATCAGTTTAAGAGATTGGGCTTCTTGATGTTAAAAACAGGAAATAAATGGTAAAGTCCATTAAGCGCAGTCAAATGACAGTGAGTGAAAGCACCAACGCATGTTAGTAGTCCAAAGACAAAATGTAGTTCAAACTTCCACAGTTTAGAGTAATTTACAGCACATGAGATGCAGGCTTCATTTTTGAGCTCCTGGAAGAGAAAACAGACATGGGTAATGGTCTCCTTTCTGTCGCTTCTGTGCAACATGAATGACGAGAGGCAAAATTTATGTGGGATTATTCTTCTCTAAACCAAAAGCAGCACTGGTTCCAAATTCAGAGGAAGCGTCAGCAGATGGAGATAGGGGAAAAAAAACAGTGGAGTCATCTGCTTAAAAACATAATCAAACATAGGTCAGAAAATCTTACCAAACCCGTGCATCTTGTTAAATGCCTTGCTTAAAGGTGGCCTGCAAACAATTAAAAAACACCTGGTTTTGTGCCCCCCCCCTTTTTTTTAAACCTTATGATGTGGACTTTCTTGTCTTGCGGGGTGTGGGGGGGGCAGGGAAGGGGGTGTTAAAATAAATCCTCCAAATTCTATAGGGAGTTGACTTTAACATTGCCCAATTGTGCCTACATATGAGCAGTTAGGGAGAACTAAAGAGGGGGGGGAAAAGAGTAAAATGTTGTATTGTATGATCAGCTGTACAGTGAAGAGTGCTACATTGTAGTATACATAATAACATTTGTTTTCAATGATTGATGCCTGGTAACTAGGGTAGCGAGGTGCCCGGTTTTTGACTAGAAAATCCAGTCAAAAAGGGGATCTGACGGCGTCCAGTCCAATCTACTGACCGTACAACAAGTCCTGTCACTGAGGGCAGGGAGGCGCCTGGTCGCTAATCTGTGCCAGCTCCTACTCAGCTGGGGCTGCCTCCTACCTGCACTGGGCGGCTGCAGCTCCCAGCCCTGGCTTTGCAGGGGTCTCCCTCCTGACAGGGCAGAGGGGCAGAAAGGGGAAAAGCAGCAAGTGACTGGGGAGGGGGGAAGAGAAGCGAATGGGGGTGGGGCCTTGGGGGAAGAGGTGGGGCAGGGCTCGGGGGGCTAGGGCAGGGTGGTTCCAGCTGGAGTGTCTGATTTTTAAATACAAAGTTGGCAACCCTACTGGTAACTGAACTAATGGGGAGGTTCGCCAAGATTTTTATTATTCTAATTGCCCTAACTTAGTCTTATTTTTCCTCTATTAAATGTTTGTATTATTACCTGGCAGGTAAGCAGTTAAAATAATTAATTTTGCAAGATGCACCTTGAATAGAGCAAAAGGTGGTCCACGGACTGCTTAGTGGTGGGTATGCAGACAGCTGTCTGGTCTCATGTTGCTGACTTCTCCTTACAACTGCTAAATCACCTGAGAGACAACTAAACCTACATTAAATACTTTCCAATTATTACTTTCCCATGGAAGCAGTTGCTGTAGAATGATATGCGCTCCTAAATAGGGATTCTCTGCAATCACGAATGAGTGGGCATTTGATCCCCTAAATGATCTCTCCATTAAAATGTGATTCAAACCATGAAATGGTTCAAGAACCCCCTGAAATAGAGGCCTCAATCTGGCACTCTAGTTACACTCCTGCAATTAGTGGCTTAGGTGCAACTGAGAGCAGAATCTGGTCAAACAACTCTGTGTAGAATGTTTTCCCCTCTTGCGCAACAAGTACAACAGAAGTCGTTCGCACCCTTGGGAAGGATCCATGTGGTAGCAATAGCTCAGTTACAGAGGTCTTCCTGAGCAAATATTGGTGATAGGTAGAAGATAAATGCAGAACATCCACCAACACCAGTAAACAATAGCTACTGAGGATGCAAAACTTTATCAACTTGTGGCGCATGAGCCTCATGCTCCACAAGTGCTCTGCAGAACAATAGTAGGACCTAGCATTTACATATAGGCTTGGCAGAATTTGATATTTTTAAATATAATTTTAACAGATAATATGAGTGTATTTTAAGCATTTGAAATTTTTTTATTGATTTACACTTTCACTGTTGTGCAAAATTATGGGTTTTAAGCTTTTTTTGTTTGAATTTTCACAGTTATAGGAAATTGTGGGGGATCAGACAATTATTTCAAGATGGTAGACATTGAGATGCAAAAAGTTTAAAGCTTTATAAACCATTAAAACACAAATTTCCAACATCATATGTCAAAATATCCTTAAATCAACAAATCCGACCTGTTTTAATTATTCATTCTCTAGTCCATTTGTAACGAGCCTTATTCAGAAGTCTAAATCACTGGATTTGACCTTAATAAGTTCTCAATCGGCATTTTTCTTACTTTGCTTATCTGTAAACAGCAGTTATTATTGATGGAAATATTTGTTGTTGATTTGTGCTACCTGTGGTGAAATTGACATTTTCTGACATTTACTGATAAAAATCTAATCCTTCCAAGCCTAGTCATATAGCACTTTATATGTTCAAATGCTGTACAAATGGTAATCAAATAAAACGTTAAGCAGAAAACATTGAACACTGAAGAGGCTTGACAATAAAATTAGATTCTCCCCCAGAATACAGTGAAAGCTGTTTGGCAAGAGGGGTGAGCGCCTATAGAATGCAATGGGAATTAATAGCTAGAGGAGGCATGAGTTTTGGAGGGGTATAGAAATGGGGCATTCTGTATTTTTTTTTGACCAACAGCTCAAAATCTTGAAGGGAGACCAAGAACAAGACTCCTTTTTTGTTGACATGGATTGTTTTTCCTTAGTTGGAAATGAGACTAGTAAAAGAACCAGGAACCAGTCTTTGTATCTGTCACTTCGTGAAAATTGCACTTGCAGGTAGGCAGAAGCACATTGATAGGGTGTGCAAATGACACAATATGGGCTTTCCGCCATCTGGGACTGAGCACATTTGCAAAAAAGAGGACTACTCCCCTTCCTAAGAGCCTTCTGCTAAGTGTTTCACTGAATTAACATTATTATATCCTGCTAAAAAACACTGCTTTGATAGTGAAGTGCAGTATCTTTATGTGTGATAAAGAAAGTGCAAAGACTTTATTGAACCAAGAATAAAGTGAAAAAGAAAATATAGAGCTTCAGCAGGCCATTTGGAACTAACGAAGATAAGTTTTATGTTTTGTTTCCAAAGATATAGGGCCTGTTTCCCATTCCCTTGAAGTCAATGGGAATCTTGCCATTGGCTTAAATGGGAGCAAGATTGGACCCATAGTGGATAAGTGAATAGTTTGTATGTGAATTTAACCTTCCCCCCCCCCACCCCCACCCCAAAAAAAGCAATGAATGTTATACTGTGTAAAATGAACAGGTATTTTTCATGCAAGGTTAGTTGTCTTTACTACTACTGTTATTTCTGAAGTATCTTTTCTGACTTCAGTTAACATCTTATTTAAATGTTTGTTCCTTGAATCTCTGCTAAAAGCAACCCTATTCTCTCAACACAGATCCTGAAAACATACTTTAGATTTATGCCCACCACTAATAAAATATGGAACATTGTTGCTAGTGTGATGACTACTTGAACAGGACTTTTCCAATCCCTTCTTTACCCAAGGAGAGGACAGTTGCAAAGCCATTTACTGTGTCTCTAAACAGAATTAATATACATACAATCCATAAACATGAAGATGTCTTTATGTAGATACTTGTATTTTTGATGCTGCTTTTTGTGGTATCCTGTTGTTATGTTGCAACAATCTCATATGTACCATATTTGAAGCTAGTTTGCTATTAAGATTCAATAAAGATTTTTTTTTTAAGTGATTGCTGTCAAATGACGAGTTACAGCATGAGCAAAACATCCAAGAGCACAACACAATAAGCAATTGTCCTCGTCCAAGGGGATGTTTTAGAACAGTGGTCCCCAACCTTTTCCGTGGGGCGGGCGCCAGACGACTAGCCGCCGAGGACCATGGCCGCTGGACAAGCAGCTGCCAAAATGCCGCCGTGAAGTGGCAACGTCAAGAGGCGTCGCTACCGAAATGCCACTGTGAAGCAGTGTCATCAAGAGGCGTCACCACCGAATTGGTGGCATTTCGGCGGTAGCGCTTCTTGACGTTGCTGCTTCTCGGCGGCATTTTGGTGGGCTGCTTGTCCGGCGGCCAGTAGGTGGGCGCACATGGATGCCCCGGCGGGGGCCATGGTGCCCGTGGGCACCGTGTTGGGCACCCCTGTTTAGAATAAATGATAGTAGATCTGAACTCTGTCAAAGAAGTGCAGGAAAGATGCCAAATCTAGTAAATCTTTATCCAGCATTTGTTAGCCGATTGCCGCTGAAGTGTGTAAATGGGGAGGGGAGAGAAGTGACATTACAGGCACCCAGTAAACATTATTTACTATTTGTATTACTGTCATGCCTAGGAGCTCTAGTCATGGACCAAGACCCCATTGTGCAATGGCCATATTATGCCTTTACCTGTATAGGGGGTCACAACATTCTGTGAATTTCCTCAATGGCCCTGGTTACCCTGAAAATGTAAAATAAGCCTTGGGCCATAGCATATTATTTTGCCAGGAAGTGTAGTGAAGCGGACAGTAGAATAAAACATATAGAGCCTTGAGAGTCTTTACTTCTGCTGAGTAGCTAGGTTAAGGTCTGGCAATGCCATGTAAGGATTTTCTGCCCTTCATATTTGAATGGGTTTGAATTCTCGCTGACATAAATAAACTTTCCTTGTCACACTGATCTGTCCAGTTTGTGATTACAGTACAGTCTGCGAGTTCATCATTAATATTGTCCATAGGTGATGTTTATTTTTAAAAAAATCCATAAGGTGCCTAATATGTTGTGTGTGCTAAATAATAAACAACAATACTGACTCCACAGGTTCTAAACTTGTGGCAGCATTTTCAGGAAGAGAATCCGATGTACAATAACAAATAAGCTCATGGTCCCTCCCTGCCTCCCTCTAAGGGGGAATGAAAAGCAGATAACAACTCTATCTCTATTTGTTGTTCCTCTGTTGGGCGAGTAAAACAATGAGCAGTAGATACCTTGTCCTGCTAAATTGGGGTTGGGCTGGTGCCATCTTCACATTTAAACATTGTAAGGGAGAATGCGAGCTGCAGACACATAGCTGAGGTTCCTGCCCCTGGATTCGGTTCAGCCATGTTTGGCTGGTGGTGGGACTGGCTAAATGCCCAAACAAATTTGTTAGTCTCTAAGGTGCCACAAGGACTCATTGTTTTTGCTGATACAGACTAACACAGCGACCCCTCTGAAAGCTGGCTAGATCGAAACTCCACTGCAAACGGATCCTGACTCTTGCCGTAGCTGGAGCCCCGGCCTCACGGGGCACTGCTGCTGATCCCTGTGGTACCCCTTTGTTTGCTTCCCCCGTGCAATCTTTGTACATATCCCCATTTCTACAAGCGGTCTATAGTTGTGCATCCACAGCCTCTTTTCTCTGCAGGCGTTCACAAACAGCCGTCACTCTTGGACACTGTGGGACAGCTGCTGGAGGACTGTGAGGGTGTCTACACTCACACTTCATTGACCAGAGCCGGTAAGTTGAACATGGCTCCACTTCCTTTCGGTCCCTGCCTGGTGTTATTGTGGCCTCATACTGGGGCACTTACAGCAGCGCGAGCCAGTGTAGACGCAGGCACGTGGCGTCACGAAGGCCTCCCTGAGGGCGTTGGTTTGGTCCAGCAGCCGGGCGAACCCGGGGAACGAGCCCGAGACACGGGACTCTGCCCAGCCCGGAGCGGGAGCGGAGCTCGGCCGGGCCGGGACCACTGGAGAAGCCCCGCCCAGGGGGGGCCATGGCCGAGCGGGCCGCTGCCCAGGTAAGGACCGGGCGGGGGCGGGGCTGGAGCTGGGGCGGGGCCGTTTGCAGCTGAGCAAGGACCGGGACTTTGCTGGTCCTCAGCCGCAGGGACCGGCCCGCCCGGCCAGCAGCGACCGTGCCCGGCTTGGGCTGCGCATGGAGAAATCTGCAGTGTGTAACCCCGCCCCAGGGTTGTAGGGTGCGCGGGACGCAGCGGTGCGGGCGGCTTCCACTGCTGGAGGGAATCAATAATCGCTGACTAGCGTGGAGCCCGGCTGCCGGGCACAGCTGGCAGTGCCGTGGGCCTGGCATGTCTCCCTCTCTCCTCTGGAACAGGATCTGCCCTGGGGCGCTGGAACAGTTTGTATAGTGGGGCTGCTGAGAGCCATTGAACTAAACGGTGTCACCCCCGTATAGAACGGAAACCACTTGAAGGCAGGGGGTGCGGCAGCACCCCTAGTTCCAGCACCTGTGGATCTCTGTGTAGACTTTGTCCCTTAGCTGTAACCTTCCCAAAGACTTACCAGAAATATCTTTCTTCTGCTCCTTTAAAGCTGCAGACGGACAGCATGGGGAAGAGCCGGTGTGCAGTCTAGTCACTGCCAATGGTGGAAAAGTAGATTTGGATTTTACATTTCAGCTTTGCCATTGGATCCTCGCTGGGTTACTATAAACCATGCGTGACCTGGGTCTTCCGCTGACCAATTTTTGTTTTTGTTTTTAAGTGTTCTCAAATCAGGGTCAGTACTTCCAGAGAGCACTGATTAACTGTGTGCCAAAGAATTAACAACATTCTTTGGAAGAGAGCGCTGGATTCTTTTGGGTTCTGTCTCCCATTCTAAACCTTAAAACAACAATATTACCTAAATAGTTAGACAATTACAACGCTTATTTTCACTGAGGTTGCATTGGGTATGTGGGACTCTTAGGCAGAAAACAGTGAGTGAAGACATGTTGTTGTACTTGATACAGATGTTCCAGAGAAGGGGCTATTGACTTTCAAACCTGCTTAACCTATTGCAAAATAAAACATACTCACTAGTGCAGACAAAATAGTGATGTCTGAAAGGTCTGCTTTAGAAAATGGGGCTGCATTTGTCAGCCAGAGGAGGGTCCAGATGTATCTGAAACTTCTTATGCGACTGACATGGGCCCTTTCTAGAACCCAGACAACATCAGAATTTATTTGAATGGGTTGGAATGGTATTACCGATGGAGTTGAGGTTTTCATGCTTGTCAAATCCCAGGCTGATACAGTTTAGTCAGCAATTATATACTGTTAAAACTTATCCCAATAACAAAAATGTCAACAGACCAGGTCTCCTCAAGAGAGTGACTCCTTTAGAATAAAGATCCAGCCCCAGAAAGCACCAAGTACCCTTGCAGCATGTATGCTGTTTGTGTGTCTAGCTGACAGTCTGCCAAATCAGCGGGTGATGCCAACTCCATGTTTATATTCTGCCCTTTCAAACAGGCTCCTGAATGGGACGTGGCATCACAGCATCTAACTCATTTACAGCTTCCTACTGTGCCCGAAAGAATTTCTGTGAGAGGCTCAGATCAAGCTGCAGAGAGATCCTTGATTGTATTGGCTGCAGTTCACACCATGGAGGGGAAGGTTGATTCATTTCCCTCCCGACTGGTGAATCTGGAGGGGAGAACAGGGTCGCCTGAGAAGAAATTAGTCAACGGTGAGAAAATAGTTGGGGAGTTTGGTAATCAGCTGGCCGCGCTGGGAACTCTGATCCAGGAGTACGGGCTGCTGCAGAGGAGGCTGGAGAACATGGAGAACCTGCTGAAGAACAGGAACTTCTGGATCCTGAGACTCCCCCCAGGCACGAAGGGAGAAGTCCCCAAGGTAACGATATCCCAGCTGGTGCTGAGGGGCAGAAGCAAATCTTGGTGTCATATAGTCATAGAAATGGGAAAGTTCTTCGAGTGATGGTCCCTATTGTATTCCATCATGCACTCGGAACTGGAGAATTTGAAAGTAGTGTCCACTGGTCCACACATGTGCCCTGGCTCACCACGCACCTCTGTCCGGGCGGATAAAGGGCGGAGGAGACCGACCGTCTCTCCAGTTCCTTGTCACTGCTGCATGGTCTGGGTCAGAACCTCCACTGTCTGTACTTTTGGCTTATAAAACAAGAATTAGATGTAGCTTTTAAATAGTTTTTACTGTTTTTAGTTTATAGTTTAGTGTTTTACAGATCTCTTAGTGTTTAGATTTAGTCTCTTTGGGGGAAATCCTGCTCCCCCCCTCCTCTCCCCCCGGTACCCTGTTTGGGTGCCAGACTATGCCTTGGACTCTGGGCTTCAAACTCTGTGCTTCCCTGCCCAAGATCCTTCTTGGACAGTGACGACCACTCGTGCTGCCTGGACTGCCTTGGGGAAGCCCAGATCACGGTGAGGTGTAGTATCTGCTGATTGTTCCCCAGCCATGCCCAAGATGGACAGGAACTTTGTCTCTGCAAATACCTCATGGAGAAGGCCATGAGGCCCCAGTCAGACCCAGGTTGGGGAACCCGCACCATCATCCTTAGAATGTTCATGCACCACAGCCATGCAAGACATCCTTCCTAATAGTAGACAAGACTCTACTAGAAGATGTTACCTAGCTAAATGGAAGCGCTTTTCTTCTTGGGCATGCCAAAGGAGCATTCTCCCAGAAACTACAGATATTCCTCTCATCTTGGACTATATCCTCTCTCTGAAGACATCAGACCTGTCCATCTGGTCCTTGTGAGTCCACTTGTTGGCAATCAGCACATACCATCCACCTTCTCAGGCCTACTCAGTCTTCGCACATCTACTGACCACTAGATTCTGGAAAGGCCTAATCAGAACCTTCCCGCCTATTCAGAAGCCTGCTCCCCAGTTGGACCTGAACATTGTTCTCTCAGTATTCACAAGCTCCCTCCCCCTCTTTGAAGCTTTAGCTTCCTGTTCCATGTCTCCTTTCTATGAAGGTTACTTTCCTAATAGCCATCTCCTCAGCTAGAAGGGTTGGCAAGCTTGGAGCGATGATGGCAGTTCCTTCTTGCACTGTATTCCATAAAGATAAGGTTTCTTTGCGTCTACACCCCAACTATACATACAATATGATTGGGGCTAATTTAGCTACAACTAATCAGGAAAGAGATCTTGGAGTCATCATGGATAGTTCTCTGAAGACGTCCCCGCAGTGTGCAGCGGCAGTCAAAAAAGCAAACAGGTGTTAGGAATCATTAAAAAGGGATAGAGAATAAGACGGAGAGTATCTTATTGCCCTTATATAAATCTGTGGTACTCCCACATCTTGAATACGGCGTACAGATGTGGTCTCCTCATCTCAAAAAAGATATACTGGCATTAGAAAAGGTTCAGAGAAGGGCAACTAAAATGATTAGGGGTTTGGAACGGGTCCCATATGAAGAGAGATTAAAGAGGCTAGGACTTTTCAGCTTGGAAAAGAGGAGACTAAAGGGGGCTATGATAGAGGTATATAAAATCATGAGTGATGTGGAGAAAGTGAATAAGGAAAAGTTATTTACTTGTTCCCATAATACAAGAACTAGGGGCCACCAAATGAAATTAATAGGCAGCAGGTTTAAAACAAATAAAAGGAATTTCTTCTTCACACAGTGTACAGTCAACTTGTGGAACTCCTTGCCTGAGGAGGTTGTGAAGGCTAGGACTATAACAGGGTTTAAAAGAGAACTGGATAAATTAATGGAGATTAAGAGAGTCGGTTGTGTGCCGTGGCCTTGGGCTGGAGTCCGTGTCTTATCTTCAGACGTAGCTGGAGGGTCGAGTTAACCCGTTCTCTTCTCCCTCCCTCCCTCCCTCTTCGGCCTCTTGCAACCTGCAAAGGAACCTTTCACTCCACACTCACACCTTTGACCCTTCCCAAAATGCTTTGCAATGCCTGCACCAGCGTTAGCAACATACAATGCTGATCTGCCTCCCCAGGGGACCCCCTGAGGGAGGGGGCCATTGGGGTTGTGACACTAGCCTCTGTTTGTCAGAGGGTGGAGATGGATGGCAGGAGAGAGATCACTTGATCGTTACCTGTTAGGTTCACTCCCTCTGGGGCACCTGGCATTGGCCACTGTCGGTAGACAGGATACTGGGCTGGATGGACCTTTGGTCTGACCCAGTATGGCCGTTCTTATTATGTTCTTATGAGAGATGGTCGGTTGGCCTTGCCCTTTATCCCCTCGGACGGAGGCACAAGTTGAGTCAGGGCAGACCAGTGGATACTATCCTTAAATTCTCTGGCTCTGGGTGCATGGTGCACATGGGTAACCCGCAGTGGAAAGCAGATAGGGACCGCACATCTTGAAGACTCTCTAGTTACAGGTCAGTAACTCCCATTTCCTTTATTAGTTCATATTGTCAATCCCTTTGCCAACGTAAAGAGTCTTCTTAAGTACCTATGAGAGGTAGATCCTTTAATGAACAACTACCTCAAAATAGGACTTGAGGGATAACTAGATTTCCTTCAGGGTGTGCAATAGTGCCCTGGATTTGAAATTCATAAGAAAATATTATGTGCCACTGATAAGTGAAATTAAAAAAAAAATCTTTCTCCTGTGAAAGGATACTTGACGCGCACTCCACACACTTGCTCAATGAGGAGGCTAAATTGAGTATGGTGGTTTTGGCATTTCTGATTGGGACATTTGTTAAAAAGATACAGGGCAGAAACCAGAGATTTTTTTCATTGGCTACTAACGAGACACCAGAAAATAAAAATTATTTTCAGGCATTACCAACCTCTACCGCTACCTTTGCTATAAAGTCACGGGATGCAGGTGTCTGGAAACAACTGCAGCTGACGGTGCTGAATGTGTCACATTTGTGATTTCAGGTCCCAGTGACATTTGATGAGATCTCAGTCTATTTCAACGAGCAGGAATGGGGGAATTTAGATGAATGGCAGAAGGAGCTTTACAAGAATGTGATGAAGAGCAACTATGAGACTTTGCTCTCACTGGGTAATGATGTATTTTCATTCATTTATCAGAAGTTCCATGATCAGAGCTTTTTACATTTCCCGTGGTTTTGGGTAGATCAGCATTCACTTAGAACTTTTGTGACTGGTCCACTTTACACAGCTCCCATTTAAAGAGACTAACAATACCCAAGGATGGGTTTAATACTTTAGTGTCCAGTATCGAAGTACTAGCTATATTTTTCTTGTGTGTATTTAACTGATACACGCAGAGATTGGACAGGAAAAATCTCTCTCTACCTGCTCAGAACCAGACGAGATTAAATAAACAGCCCCCCGTATATGTGGCTATTTCTGAATCAGCTGCAGGGTCCAAAACTTATCTTCTACCAGATGTTTTATGTTTTTTTTACTATTTTGTCTACACTCAAATTGCCAGTCATCTCTGGTGATGGAAGGGGATTGGTTTAACGTAATTCTCAGTCCTTTGACATTGTAGCAAGTACTCAGTGGCTATTAATGAAGCATAATGATCCCTGGTGTCTGTTTCCATGATCAGACTATGCAATTTCCAAACCTGACATTCTGTCCAGGATTGAACAAGGGGAAGAGCCATGTGTCAGGGATCAAGGGGACCCAGAGGAAAGGGAAGTGTCTACAGACACCAAGACAGGTGAGTGGTGACCGATTATGTAGGGCTGTGAAGGAATGATATTGTTTATGTATGGCACAGGGATATCCATGTCCTAGAACAGAGGTGGGCAAACTACGGCCAATGGGCCACATCTGGCCCATGGGACCCTCCTGCTTGGCCCCTGAGCTCCTGGCCCGGGAGGCTAGGCTAGCCCCCCCCTGCTGTTCCTCCTCCCCCGCAGCCTCAGCTCGCTCTGTCGCCGGTACAATGCTCTGGGCAGCAGGACTGTTGAGCTCCTGGGGCAGCGCAGCTGCAGAGCCCGGCCTGACCCGGTGCTCTGTGCTGCGCAGTGGTGTGACTGGCTCTGCCAGCCACCGGTGCTCCAGGCAGTGCGGTAAGGGGGCAGGGAGTGGGGGGGTTGGATAGAGGGCAGGGGAGTTCAGGAGGGGGTGGTCAGGGGGCAGGTGTGTGGATAGGGTTTGGGGCGCTTGGAGGGCAGGGAATGGGGGGAGGGTTGAATGGGGGCGGGATCCCAGGGGGCAGTCAGGAAGGAGGGGGGGTTGAATGGGGCAGCGGGGGGCAGTCAGGGGCAGGGGTTCCGGGGGCAGTCAGGGAGAAGGGGTGCTTGGATGGGGCAGGGGTCCGGGGGGGGCAGTCAGGAATGAGGGGTGTTGGAAGTCTGGGGGTGATCGGGGACAGAGAGCGGGGGGGGGGGGGTGGATGGGGCAGGGGTTCTGGGGGGGCTGTCGGGGTGAGAAACGGGGGGGGTCAGATGGGGGTGAGGGCTGAGCCACGCCTGGCACAGCCTCCCCTAACTGGCCCTCCTTACAATTTCAGAAACCCGATGTGGTCCTCAGGCAAAAAAGTTTGCCCGCCCCTGTCCTAGAATCTCATCAACATAATGTGGAATTCAATGTTTTTGGTTTTGTTTTTTTTCAAAGGGAAAGTTAAAATGGGAAGTGTTGGGGGCCTGTTAATTGTGGCTGTCATCTGGGAGCTCAGCAGTGCGGCGCTGGGGCGCCTGTAATGGTCTGTCTGCAGAGGGATAAAATTCCCACAGCAGGGCCATGGCTGGCCCAATTCAATTGACTCGGGCTTGCAGGGCTCAGGCTCTGGGGCTAAAAATCACTGTGTAGAGTTCAGGCTGCAGCCCCATCCTGAGCTCTAGGACCCTCCGTCCTCACAGGGTCCCAGACCGCAGGCTCCAGCCTGAGCCGGAGAATCTCTACAGGCTCCAGCCTGAGCCGCAGAGCCCGAGCCCCTCTCAGCTGACCCAGGCCAGCCGCAGGTTTTTTATCCGCATGTCGATGTACCTTAAATGACTGCAGGCGTGTTCGTATGTGTTCAGAAGACCTGTCTGTTTTGGCAAAGAATTGGCCGAGGTTTGAAATTGGGTCTCAACTCGTTTTAAAAAAATGTTCTGTGAACACTAGCAAAATACACTGTGATTCTCTTTCCTCTGAACAGAATCTTCCATTTCCACACACATTTCACCCCGAACCAAGCAAGAGGAAGAGCCACCTATTGGAGATCAGCCAGCTTCAGAACCACAAGAGAGCCGTCCAGATCGCAGCGCCGGTGAGTAACTCAAACAACGTGGATGCAGTGAATGAGTAAAATGTTGGAAATGCCAACAACACTCTGATGAGCTCTTAAAGGTTCTGCCTTTTTCTCATGTTATTCTGTTTTGTAACCAGAACTTGACATTCCTTCATCTCCGACCTCAGTCCTGGCTTCCTACCACGCCTGGCTGACTATGGGCAGTGTAGCTCTCTCATCATCTGATTTATTCTCTCCTCTCCCCCTCCCCCTTTTCAGGTGAAGAGGCTTTCTTTAAAAATCAAGCATTTTATTTAAATCCCTGTCTGGATTCTATAGGTGGCAGGGACTTTCGTACTTTGTGCTTCGTCCAGTGCAGAGAACAGCCTCTAGATGCTAATGTATGCAAATAATAATAATCCTTTATTCTGTCAGGTGAAGGGGCTTTGGTCAGATCTGAGGATCGGCATCATGGTGAAGGTCCTGTGAGCCTGGAGCTGACCAAGAAGTTATCGGGTAGATCTGCAGAGAAGTTTTTCCGGAGTCCCAATGTAGGAATGCCCTCCAAGAGGCAGGGCAGCTCAACTATACAACCGGAGAACCCTGCAGAGATCAGACCTGGGAAATCTACTCCGTGTGAGGCAGGTTCTGGTGAACTCCAGCCAAAACCACAGCCCTGCGCAAGAGAGAAATCAAAGAGCTTCGCTTGCAAGACTGTTGATAAATCTCATCGGAAACGTCACACTGTAGAGAAAGTATATCCTTGCACTGAATGTGACAAAAGCTTTCCTGATCAAGCACGACTGACTAGTCACTACAGAATCCGCTCGAGAGAGAGGCCGTATCAGTGCCCTGTGTGTGGGAAACGATTCAGCTACCAATCTATTCTCATCAAGCATCACAGAATCCACACGGGGGAGCAGCTGTATAAATGTACGGAATGCGAGAAAAGCTTCAATGAGAAATCCAAGCTGACCAACCACTACACAGTCCACACTGGAGAGAGACCCTATGCTTGTAAAGAGTGTGGGAAAAGTTTCCGGCTGAAGATGGGTCTTATAAATCACCAGATAAGTCATGGCAAAGAGAAGCCTTATCAGTGCGCCTTGTGTGACAAGAGCTACATCCAAAAGAAACACCTCCTACGTCACCAGCGAGTCCACACAGGAGAGAGACCCTTCCATTGTACTGTGTGTGGGAAGAACTTTCGGCAGAAGTTTGTCCTGCTATCCCATCAGCGACTCCACACAGGAGAGAGACCCTATGCCTGTACCGTGTGTGAGAAGAGCTTCATCATCAAATCCAAATTGACCAGTCACTACCGTATCCACACGGGAGAGAAGCCCTACAAGTGCACTGAGTGCGGGAAGAGCTTCAGAGTGAGGGAGACTTACCGGCAACACCAGCATAGTCACGCGCAAGAGCAACCCTACAAGTGTAGTGACTGCGAGAAGAGCTTCAGCTGCCAGTCAGGCCTTATCAGACATCAGACGGTCCATACAGGAGAGAAGCCTTATAAGTGTGTGGAATGTGGAAAGAGCTTCAGCCGCCAGTCAAATCTTCTTAGACATCAGATGGTCCATACAGGAGAGAAGCCTTATAAGTGTGTGGAATGTGGAAAGAGCTTCAGCTGCCAGTCAAATCTTCTTAGACATCAGAAGGGCCACACTGGAGAGAAGCCTTATAAATGTGTGGAATGCAACAAGAGCTACATTCGGAAGGAGTGTCTGCTAAACCACCAGCTCATCCACACAGGAGAGCAGCCCTACACCTGCACTGAATGTGGTGAACACTTCAGGCTAAAGGTGACTTTGGTAAAGCACCAAAAGAATCATGCGAAAGAAGACTCTGGTCAGCGCAGCCTGTCCTTTAAAACTTGAAGGGTCACTGAGGTTGGTACAGGACAGCAGGTGACTTACACAGCAGGAGGCTGTTTAAATGCACTGCTGGTGACAGACACTTAATTTGAAAGGACTATCCTCGTCCAAAATGCCAACTTCCCCATGTGGCAAAGGGAATGTCTAAATGTAGATGGGGAACACCCGAGAAAGGCTCAACATCCGCTACAGTCGTCAGATTCATTTAGTTTCTGAGCCTTGGCACCTTTCAGGATGTGGCCCAGAAAAACCCAAACTCCGAACAATGCTGAGGCCAAGAAACTTTATTGGTAAACAGTCCCTTAAAGACCTCCAAAAAGATTCTCTTCATGGCAGAATCCTCTGCAGGCTCCTTGGAGCCTTTTACAGCAATTAAAGACCAAACTTCTTGATATGAAAATGAGGGGGGGAAATATTTTGCGTATATATATGTAACCCTCCTGCCCATCTAAGTTGGCAGCAACAAGGAACGGGTTCTGTATCTAGGGGCTCTGTTTCAATAACACAATGCAAAACCGGCTCGAGCCCCCACCCAGTGACCTGGGACAATTACATACCACCCCCTGGGCGCCTCTAAGAGGCAATACTTCCCCTCTCGCAAGCACGGAGTCTGAGTGTAGCAGAAAATGTTTAATAACATGAGGTAAACGACATCAGCATTAAATTGGAAAAACACCACAAACCGGATTCCTAACACAAACCATGAGCAAAAGACCCACCCCAGCAAATTGGGCCGTGTCCTTTCCCTTTGAGTGATTTTTAGGTTGCTGGATTCAAGAACCAGAGTCCCCAAAGTCCAACAACCCCCAAAGTCTCTGTCCCTGGTCAGTGCAGCCCCAGAGTGAAAGGGGGGCATGCAGGGTGTTAAGGGGCACCTTAGGTGATCCAAGGCTGGCTGGCTGTCTCTCCATGGGGTTCCACTGCAGCCTTCACCACGAGCCAGTCCACTTCCTGCCGTCCTACGAACTGCTCTGCTCTACAAGCTGCTCCTCCAGCCATCCCCGCAAACTGCTCCGCCAGCCGCTTAGCAATTCCCCCACTAGTTAACACAGCCCTCAGTGATCTGATCTCAGCTCTTAGCTCTTAATGATTTCAGCTTGTAGTAGGGGAGCCCCAGTGCTGGGTGCACCATTGGCCCAAAGTGAATTCAGCTCAGCAGCCTGTAACTAGACTCCTAATAGAATCAAAGTTAGCTCTGATATTCAACAGTGGAGAGAGAAGGTGGTGCAATTGGTGTTTCAGGCCCTCAAAGGATGGCCCATCAGGTACAAATACCTGTCCCCATCCTCTCTCAATTCACTAGGTTTTCTAACCCATGCCCCTTGTCAAGCAAGTGCTACTGAGGTAATGGTGAGTCCTTCTGTCATACAACAGTTCCACTGGCCTTGATTCACAGAATCAGGGTAACAAAACTTTATTCTTCCTGCCCCAATAACAGAGAAACTGAGGATCCCACACCAGCCAAAGTAACCACTTTCAGTTGCTGTTGTTTCATACCAGGCAGGTGGGTGTGCCTATGTAAACAAGATCAGCCCCTGGAGTTCTTTTCCACACTCGCCATAATTCACCACCAGATGTCAGGGTAGAGCTCATCCGGACTCTGCTTACATATATAAATAAATAAATATGAGAGAGAGAGAGAGAGAGAGAGAGAGAGAGAGAAATCCTCTCTCCATTTTAAAACCCGAGAAGTCACTTGATGTGGGATTATTCATCTCTCCAAACTAAAAAGGCAGCAACAGTTCTACATGCAAAGAAAGTAGCAGTGGAAGGAAGATGGAAACCAATATCTGCTCAAGAAATAACCGGTCAAAAAATCCTATTCAACCCATGTTATTTAAATCTGCTTTAAAGCCTAGGACAACTCATCAAATATCTAATCATTAGAGGTTTTATCATGAAATTACATTATCTGTGCTTGGATATGGGAAGTTTCTTTCCATCCCACTTTAAACAATTCCCACAAATCCAGGAAATCTGTGTGTCAACTTTATAAAAACTAAGTGCATAAAAATATCTGCTGGGGCGGTAAGCAGGAAAGCCTGGCCACTGACTTATAGGATGTCTTATGAGGTTTTCTGAGATTTTTATGATTCTAAGCACTCAAATTTAATAATGAGAAGTAAAACTGAAACCTAGTTTCCTTCTCCAGACCTGAAGAAGAATGCTGTGAAGTTTGAAAGCTTCTCCCTTCCATCAACAGAGGTTGGTTCACCTTGTCTCTCTCAAGTGAAACTGGGTTATTTAGGAATTTTAAAAACCCTATTTTTACAGTGTGCGTCTCTAAATTAGTGGTGGTTTGATAATGGGTGTAGATCAAAGTCAGCAACCTTTCAGAAGTGGTGGGCCGAGTCTTCATTTATTCACTCTGATTGAAGGTTTCACCTGCCAGTCATACATTTAAACGTTTTTTAGAAGGTCTCTTTCTATAAGTCGATACAACAATAGTTTAGTTATATATTATGTAAAGTAAATAAGGTTTTTAAAATGTTTAAGAAGCTTCATTTAAAATTGCATTAAAATGCAGAGCCCCCAGACCGGTGGCCAGGACTCAGGCAGTGTGAGTGCCACTGAAAATCAACTCGCGTGCTGCCTTTGGCACGCATCCCATAGGTTGCCTACCCCTGGTGTAGATAAATCTCTGCATTAAGCATCTTTGCATAACTTTCATATGACTTTGTATTATGCCTCTTCATATAACCTTGTATTAAGTCTTTCCATATATAACCTCTATTTTCATACAACTGGGGCAGTCAGAGGGTGGGGAATGGGGGGGGGGTTGAATGGGGGCAGGGGTCCTAGAGGGGCAGTCAGGAAGGAGGAGGGGTTGGATGGGGCGGTGGGGGGCAGTCAGGGGCAGGGGTTCTGGGGGCAGTCAGGGAGAAGGGGTGCTTGATGGCCTTGGGAGTTAGAAGCGAGCACCTTCTTTTGAAAACACCCTCTTTGAAAATAAATGTGGCAGCATTAAGACAACACCCAGACGGAAGCACTACGGATGACCAACTGACACAGACACAGATTTTGCATCTGGTACAGATTTGCATGAGAGGGAAGCTGCTATAAAAGTGAGGTGTCTTGCAGAGGAACCCGGGTCTCGTCTTGTCAACACTGGAGCATCGATCCAGATAGACAGAAGCCCGGCTCCACCCCCTCCCCCATCTAACTCACCTGGCCAGTGCAGTTAAGGGGAGCAACTAGTTGGTAACAACATCAAGCCAGAGTGTGCTTGTGTGTGTATGTGAGTACATGACTGTAATATATATGATACGCATATGACATGGTGTTGATTGATACATGTATTACCAATAAATGTGGCACTTTGCCTTATCCCCCTGAAAAGATCCTGTGCAGTACTTTAAGTACAACATGGGCTCTTCCGTTGTCAGATGACACAAACCTAGGGGGGTGGCCAGTACTTTGGAGGATGGAGTTAAAATTGGAGAACTGGTCTATAGACGACAAAATGAAATTCAACAAACAAATGTCAAGTGCTACATAAACCAAATGCACGAGTACAGAACGGGGGGGAACTGGCTTGGCAGCAGCACTGCTGAGAAGGATCTGGGAGTTCTGGTGGATCACAACCTCAACATGAGTCAGCAATGTGAGCCTGTTGCAAATAAAGCAAATGCAATGTTAGGTTGCATTAGCAGAGGCCTAGCAGGCAAGTTATGGGAGGTGGTGATAGTACCACTCTACTCGACACTGGTTAGGCCTCAGCTTGAGTACTGTGTCCAATCTTGGTCACCGCTTATAGAAAGGATGTAGTGAAACTGGAAAGGATCCAGAGGCAAGCAACGAAGATGATCAAAGGGATGGAACACCAGCCATACGAGCAAAGGCTGAAAGAACTGGGTATGTTTAGTTTGGAAAAGAGGAGATTAAGGGGGGACAGGAGAGTGGTCTTCAGATATGAAGGCTGCCATAAAAAAGATGGAGAAAAGTTCTCTTTTGCTGCAGAGGTCTGACAAGAGGCATTGGGTTAAAAGTACAGCAGAGCAGCCAGATGAAATCTCAGGAAGAACTGCTTCACTGTAAGAACAGTAGGACGAAGGAACCGACGCCTGGGGAGGTTGTGGAAGCCCCTTCACTGGAGGTTTTCAATAGGAGGCTGGAGCCGTCTGCCTTGGGTGGTTTAAACACAACAAATCCGGCATCTTGGCAGGAGGTTAGACTAGATGACTCTTGCGGTCCCTTCTGACCCTGTGGTTCTGTGATTCTAGGAGCCAAAGGTGTAACAAGATCCAGTGGCTGGAAGTTGAAGCTAGACCAATTCAGACTAGAAATAAGGCACTAATTGTTAGCAGCGAGGGTGAATTGGAACAATTTATCAAGCGTTGTAGTTGAATTCTCCATCATTACTGGCCATTTTTAAATCAAGATTGGATGTTTTTCTAAAAGAGCTGCTGTATGTGAAACAAGTTAATTCAGGGAAATCCTGTAGTGGAATATAGGTGGTCAGACTAGATGATCACAATTGACTTTACAATCTGAATCAAATCCAGAGACTGTGAAGGACTTTCCCGCTGTGCATAACTCCATAACTAAAGGAACCAGCCATCTGGAAACTCCTGCCCCATTCAGGACACTACACAACAGATCTCTTAGTCTGTGGCTACCCTCTGGCATTGCCACCAATCTGACAACATGCAAGCAGCCGTAGCCATTCGGGATTACAAAGTCTGACGAGCTTGCTAAGTAAACTAAACGTGTGTAAGGCCAAACCAGACCACTCTCTGTTTGTGCTTTGCAAACAAATAAATACTGAAAGAATTCTACAGCAAAACGAAATACTTCTTGCGTGATACACCAGATAGTGAAATATCACAACCTCCTAAGCAATAACATTGAGATCCTAAGAACATCAAATGAACACTGAGGATCCTATATTATTTTTTGAATACTGGCTACTAGAAATATTCATGTGAGATCCCAAAGTGGATCCACTTGCCTCTAAAAGGGCTTGTCATGTTCCTAAAACAAGAGCAGAGCTGGTTGGAAGAACCTGACCTGGAACTGTGATCTGTTGTGCATCTCTCTCGAGCAACAGTGGAAAATATTCATTCACTTTTAAATAAACTGTAAATGACCACAATACTATTTCTTCTTGTCATACCCTCCTCCTGACAAGCTATGGGTGAGCATAATGTTAATATAGCCCTGTAAGCTAAGAATCCACTATGGTGATAACCTGTATCTTGCTACACGGAGGGCAGAGACTTCATTGGACTTAACAGAAAATAAGGACGTATATGGGACCTCATCAGCCCATTCAGAGCTAATGGAGATTCTCTCTTAAACTGTTTTAACATAGTGAAGGAGTGGTTGGTATATTTAATGACATGCATCCGACGAAGTGGGTATTCACCCACGAAAGCTTATGCTCCAATACGTCTGTTAGTCTAAAAGGTGCCACAGGACTCTTTGTCGCTTTTTAATAATCTTTGTCTTTGAAGCATTTGATTTTAACTTTGTATAAAGTGATTTCTGCTATCCCTAAGTATTCCGTCTAAAGGACAGTAAAGATCTCACCTAGACATTTAGGGCTTTGGAATATACTTTGTCTTATTTCTTCCTGATGCAAAACATGGAAAGTATAAATTGGAATTGTGCCTGTTTTGTAATAAACATGAAACACTGTGGACGGAAGCATGTCATGGGAGCAACATACTGCTTCAGGCTAATAAGTATAACCAGTTTATTTCAATTAAAATTTGCCAATCCGCTGCTGGATGGCTGCAATGGGAACTCTGATCTGAATCAGAACTGGCATATATGCTGTGCTGCTGCCTTTCAATTGTATTTTCAGGGCATCTATACATGCACTATTCTGCTGCAGAAATCTGCTAAATATACCTTAGTTGGGCTATTTTGCACTAGTGAGATTAGCCATTTTTTCACTAAAGAAACATTTTAAGAGAGGGTGATGTTAAACACATGACCACCTACCCCATAGTCCAAACTGGAGAGGACACGAGCAGGGAGTGTTTTAACAATCAAAGTAGGTCCAAGCAGATCTGAAATCTATTGGTGTGCAGCAAGGGTTTTTTAAAAAAGTAATTAAAACTCACCCATGCCCTGCTGTTTACAAAATACATGACAATGGCTACGTGGCTGATACACTGCAACTGCTGCTAGTTCCATTAATGATAAACTTCTCACGGTTACCTTGTGCTTTCTCCACTGACCCATCCACTCATCTGTTGTGTTCACCTCTTGATGTGACACCTGAGGGCCGCTCAGAAGCCTCGGTGGGTGTGGAATACAGCTGTCCATTTACACTGGTGCCTCCAGCAAATTACCCACAAGGCAGCCTGTTGCTGGTGCTGGAGTGAAGGGAAACCAAGGCTGGAGCGTGGATGGGTGTGTTGGGGGAAAAGGGGAGCGGGAGGGTGAGAGCTGGGAGAGAAGGGGAAAAAGGAGTAGGGCCATAGGTGCTGGAACTTGGGGTGCTACCGCACCCCCTGGCTGGAAGTGGTTTCCATCATACACAGGGTTTACACTTTGGTTCCATGGCTCTCAGCTGCCCCACTATACACATTGTTCCAGCCCCTGAGGAGGGCCCAGATCCTCAAAGGCTCCACACGGCCATGGATTTTGGGCTCTGAGGACAGGGCCGGCTCTGGCTTTTTTGCTGCCCGAGGCAAAAAAGCCTCCCACTGCCCCCCCTCCCCACCCCGCCGGGAGCACGGCAGGGGAGGGCGGCGAGCCCGCCGCGGCTACGCTCTCCCCGGCGGCCAGAGCGCCGGGGGGAGGGCAGCGAGCCCGGCCGCGACCCCGCTCTCCCCGGGTGAGCGCCGCCCCACTCCAGGTGCCGCCCCAAGCACACGCTTGGAGGGCTGGTGCCTGGAGCCAGGCCTGCCCTGTCTGAGGATGTGGGCTGGAGGCCATGGCTCATGGGTGGGAGGAGAAAAGAGCAGGGGAGACTCACCAGCTGTCCGGGGTTCAGGCTGACAGACTGTCACAGGGACGGAGGGGGCAGGGGGCCCCTTTCTTCTGTCACCCACAGGTGCTAAAACTCTCACCTGCACGGAGGGTGACCGGAGTCCCTCAGTTAAAGGAACCGCCTATTAGTTCATGGCTTTGCCCCGAGGGTGAGCACCCGACCCCGTCCCCGCTCTGAAGACGTGTTGACTGACACGTGTGTGACACCCGCTAACGAAAGTTCCAGGGCAACAAAGCGGCAGCCGCGGCCGGGGCCGAGTTTCCTCCGCCAGGGGCCGCTGCCGCCCCGCTCCTCCCCGCCGCTCCCGGGCCCCGGCAGCCAGGCCGCGGCTCCCCCCGGCGGCGCTCGCTCTGCTCCGCCCGGCAGCGGGGCCGGCCCGTGGCGAGGCGAGGCGGCGCCGGGACTCTGCCCAGCCCGGAGCGGGAGCGGAGCTCGGCCGGGCCGGGCCCGCTGGAGAAGCCCCCGCCGGGGGGGCCGATGGCCGAGCGGGCCGGCTGCCCAGGTAAGGCCCGGGCGGGGGCGCTGCGGTACGGTAGCCCCGGTGCCTGGCCGCGGGCTCCGTGCAGAGCCGGGGCACGTTTGCCCAGCGCCCCCCGGCTCCCGCAGGGACTGGCTCGAGACCCCTGGGGCCGGGGAGCTGCCCTTTCCCTGGGGGGGCCGCCCCTGACTTCCAGCCCTGGGGGGCGTGGGGCTGTGGGCCCCCTGCCTCGGGGCGCAGCTAACACCCCGCTTCCTAGCGCTAGCCAGGGCGGCCCTAGCACTGCCACTCCCCGTGTAGCCGGGCAGGGGGAAGGCCAGCAAGGAAATGCCTGGATTCCTGGTTCGCGCCTCCGCTCACCTGCCTCAGGTGGGCTTTGGCGCTTGGGCAGGAGGGTGGTGGTCAGGGCCGGGCAGCTGCAGGGGCTGGGCTGCAGAGGGTGTTCACAGGGCACCAGCATTGCTTTCCGCAGGAAGCCCAGTGCAGTGTCCAGAGCGTTATCTAATGTCAGCAGGCTGGGTTCTGTTTCGGACCCTGCTACTGACTTGGGTGAGTTATTTCCAGGGCTTAATTTGTAATGAAAGCGGTGCTGGGGCTCAGGCAAATAGGTGCCGGGGCTTAAGCAATTTTTTGACTTTCATAACTGACCTGGCAAGGACAGAGGTGCTGGGGATATGAACTGCTAAGCCTCGAGGTGCCAGGGCCGGCTCTGACAAGCCCTGGCACAAATTAAGCACTGGTCATTTCATCCCTGACAGCAGGGCACATAGAAGGTGTAAACTGGGAGTGGGACTAGATTCTTATTTCTCCCATAAGGATTTTGAAAATGCATTAATTGTTCTTAAAGTGCTCTGATGTGCAGGGTTGAAAGACTCTTGATTGGTAGGGGAGGAGCACAGTAGTTTGAACAGGTTGGGCCCAATGTTGAAAACTTTTAGATGTGCAAGTTTCACGTGCAGTTATGATTGTGCGCACAAACTGCGGAACTGCCAATGTTGTGTACGGTGTAGTTGTAGCCGTGTTGGTCCCAGGATATTAGAGAGACAAGGTGGGTGCAGTAATATCTTTTATTGGACCAGCTTCTGTTGGTGAGAGAGAGGGTGACCAGATGTCCCGATTTTATAGGGTCAGTCCTGATTTTTGGGTCTTTTTCTTATATAAGCTCCTTTTACCCCCGCACCCCCGTCCCAATTTTTCACACTTGCTGTCTGGTCACCCTAGTGAGAGAGACAAGCTTTTGAGCCACACAGAGCTCTTCTTCAGGTCTGGGAAATGAAGGGAAATGACCAGAACCAGGCATATGCACGTGCAGTTACCTGGACTGTGTGTATGTAATTGTGCACTCATTTTGTATGGGCAGTTCCACATCTAACTTTTTCAAAACCAGGCTCGTAAAGCATTGCATAATTTTGTATTTAAAAGAAGTAACTGAATATTTGCATGCACCTGGTGTGGCTACACATCATCATTATAGTTATGTGCATGAAAGGGTTTTCTCTCTGCTTTTTAGGTGTCATTCAAATAAAAAGCCAAGGCGTTTGAAGAAGGGGGTGTTCTCGCGTCTTTGGATTCTGAGCGTTACATTGAACAGCTACAGTGGAAGAACTGTACTAGGAGACAAGGGATGCAACAACTCCCAGAGCTACTTCGAAACCTTTGAAGCCTCTTTCCTAACAGATCAGCTGGAGGAATCTCTAGAAGTTGCCTGCTAGTGCCATTGTAACGTATACGTTACAAACCATGCCAGCCCGCTGCGTAGTGGCCAGGTGTTCCAACACCACCCAAGACGGTGTATCCTTGTTCAAATTTCCAAGAGACCCTCACGTTAGGAGCCTGTGGGACAGATTTGTTCGGATGAAGAGAGCAGACTGGAGAGGGGGACACGACCGCTCGCTGATCTGCTCCGCGCACTTCACGGACGAGTGCTTTGACATTTCAAGTGTGACGCAAAAAAAATTAGAATTTGGAAAGCGGTTACTTCTAACCAAAACAGCGGTTCCAACTCTGAACGTTTGCCCGAATGTGAACGGGAACCCACAGTCCCTATCGCAACCAAAAGGAAGAGGAGCCTTCCGGAAAAAAATCATCCAAGAGGTACCTAAATGTTGGTTGATAAATAACACTATGTGTTTATATTGAGAGGAAGAACAGATTCATGGCTGAAGCAAAGGATTGAGTGCCAGGAGTCATGGTTTCTGTTCCCACTTCTGTGCTGACTTGCTATGTGATTTTTGGACAGGCCACTTGACCTCAGTTTCTCTGTCTCTACATGGGGAATAATACTTATGCCTCCCTGGGGTGGTTATGAGTCTTAATGTGTCTGTATTGGTAAATTGCTTTGAGATCCTTTGCTTTGCAAAGTCTTGGGATTAGAACTGGGTGAATATTTGTTGCCAAACTCTACGTGGAATTAGCTGGTTTTAGAGTTTGGGAAACTTTGGCAAAAATGTAGCAGGTTTTTGGGGGGGAAAGTTGGTTGAGACAAAAAGAGGTGAGTGAAACTTCAACCTGGAGGATCTCTGCAGGCCTAGAGAAGTGAGCACAGGCCTGTGACCCCGGAACCCTATTTCCATGTCTACTACTGACTGGCCTTAATAATGCTTTACACTTCTGTAGTGCTTTATAAGCAGGGTTCACAGCAGTCTTCTGTTTAATTGGGAGGGTGATAAATGGAGGCTCATGCTCTCACACACCTACCTCTCCTGATGCTCTGGCCTGTATTTAAACTGCTGGACCACAATGCTCTTGAGGCAAGTTTCTTATCCCAAGCAGGTCTCAGTTTTCCCATCTGTAAAACCAGTGATAATCATGCTTTATTTAGGAAGCCAAGTAAGTTTGATGACTGAGGAGATCTTAAATCCTGTGTGCTTTCAGATTTTTAATACCCCATTTTACCGAGGGGAAAACTAGGACACAGTGAAATGATTTGCCTAGGAAGTACAGTGGTTTAGGGCATTAGGTATTGTTTGGGGATGGTTCTGGAAAAACCTCAAGTTAGTGACAAGGACATGAGGAGAAGAAGGGGACGTGGATTCAAATGTTGGTCCAGACATTTTTACTGGATGTCCTTGTGCAAGTTGCTTAAAATTTCTAAATGCTGGAGATAAGGATACTTACCTACCTACCTACCTGGGGTGTTGTGAGATTTAAGTTTGTACAGACTGTAGCACCGAGTTTGTACAGTTAGTTTGTTCCCATCCCGTCTGGTCACTGCTGGGATATAGCGCCATCTCCTGACGGGATAAATGTTGGTGCGCAGATGGGCCATAAGAGAGAGCGAGAGACCCAGAGTACGTCCACACTTTGAGTTGGTTGTGTGATTCCCATTTTAAGGAGGCATATTTGCACTAGCTCTGATCGAGTTAGCATGCTAAAAATAGAGCACAGTTGTGGTGGTGCAAGCAGTGGGAGAGGCGAGCCGCCCGGAGTGTGTGCCGCTGGACTTGGGCAGTGTGTCTTCAGAACGGCTAGTGCTTCCTGCCACTCACTGCTGACACTTCACTTCTCTAGAACTAGCGCCAGTATGTCTCTTTGCTCAGGGAATTCCCCCTCCAGCTCCAGTGTGGACATCCCCTGGGAGTGTCTGGGGCCCTGTGGCAAGGAGACCTCACACCAGGCTCATTAATTCTCTTCTCATAACACTGTTGTAGTGATTGACTCTTGTTTGTAAATGAACGTGATTAGAAAAGCTCTTGCCTTGTATTGCAGTTTTCCTCAAACAAATTAGGACAAAACCCGAGATGCATGGGACATTTCAGTTCAATGCCATTCCCATTGACCCTTATAAATGAGGATTATAATGAAAATGTCAGCAGCTTTTTAACCATCACTTCTGGAATGTGAGCCGATGATGATGATAAAGATGCAACCCTTGAACAGTCTGGGCGGCCTGTTGCATGTGAGCGGCTGCTTGTCCTGTTTCTTTGTAGCTAACTTTGCCGATAGGGAACGTGACCTCAACTCTGTTTTCATTTTCTGTCCTTGAAACAGGCTGATGAATGGGAGGTGGAATCGCAGCCCCTGGCCGCCTTACATCCACCGGTCCTCCCTGAGCAAACGTCTGTACAAGAAACACCACCTCCAAGTGCAGAGGCTTCCCTTCGGACTGTATTAGCCGCAGTCCAAGCTGTTGAGAAGAAATTAGATTCTCATGCCACGAGGTTGCTGGGTCTGGAAGGGAGAATGTGGATGGCTGAAAAAAAACTAATAGGCTGTGAGAGAACTGTAGTGGAGTTTGGGAACCAGCTGGAGAGTAAATGGGCCGTGCTGGGAACTCTGATCCAGGAGTACGGGCTGCTGCAGAGGAGGCTGGAGAACATGGAGAACCTGCTGAAGAACAGGAACTTCTGGATCCTGAGGCTCCCCCCAGGCACTAAGGGGGAGGTGCCCAAGGTAACTAGTATTATCTGAATGGTGGTAATGCCTAAGAGCCCCAGTCACGGACCAGGACCCTACTGTGGCAGGTGCTGTACAAACACAGAACAAAAAGACAGTCCCTGCCCCAAGGAATCTACAATAGAAATATCGGACGAGATGGAACCGGGGATACAGACAAGGAGACATTTCTTAGGGAGATATACCTATCTCCTAGAACTGGAAGGGACCCCGAAAGGTCATCGAGTCCAGCCCCCTGCCTTCACTAGCAGGACCAAGTACTGATTTTGCCCCAGATCCCTAAATGGCCCCCTCAAGGACTGAACACTCAACCCTGGGTTTAGCAGGCCAGTGCTCAAACCACTGAGCTATCCCTCCACCCTTGTTGATGTGATGTGATGGGCAGTGGAGTGATGCAGAGAAGGGGGTGACATGGTCAAAGCGATGAGCTAGGAAAATAAGCATTGTAGCAGCACATCTCCACTAGCACTAAGGAGGCGGAAGTCAGCCTAGAGTAGAAGAGATGGTCTTGTAGTTAATGCACAGGTCTGGGAATCGAGATCTGGGTCTAGTTATTATTTAGTCCTGCCTTGAGTGCAAGGGACTGGACTAGATGACCTACTGAATCCCTTCCAGTCCTACCCTGCTATAATTCTATGATTCATTTCCCAGATCTGTCGCAAACTTTCTGTGTGATCTTGGACATGCCTCTTAACTTTTCTGAGCCTCATTTTTAAAATGGGGATGACATTTACCTCCTGCACAGGGGTACCTGAGGCTTAAGCCACCAGTATTAGTAAGGCATTTTTAGTGCTTCATATGGAAGGGGCCGTACCATGTTAAAAGATGTATTAAAGTAAGTCCCTTCTATTACCAGAAACACAAGGGATTTTTTTCACAGGCCCGTTCTTTTTCCCCATCCAATCTCTGTCTTCTCTGTTCTAAAAGTGCTCAGATTTGATGGGGCTTCAGAGGGTTTTTCGAGCCAACCGCCGCGCTGATCAGAACTAGTTAGACAACTTTCACCCCACGCCCTTCTCATGCTGGTGGGAGCAATTGGGGGGGAAAAGGGAGGGAATGGAAGAACAAATCTAACATCTGGAAAAACCTCTCCAGATTAAGGAAAGCACAGAAGCCCAAAGTTCATAGCCAGAGAAGGGAGAAGGAACCCCCACTGTCTGTCTATTTTAGGTACTTATATGGCCCTGGATGAGAGTGCCTCTCCAGCTTTTAATGTATGTATCCACACAACACCCCAGTGAGGTTGAGCAGTGCTATAATCCCCAGGGGTAAATCTCAGGCACACAGAGACTGAGATTTGCCCAAGGTTGCACAGAATATTCATGGAAGAACAAGAATTGAACCCCAGCTAGCGCTGTAACCACTGGACTAGCCTTCCGGTCTGCTCTTACCTGCCCTTTTCAGTTTTTGACTTTCCCCGCTGCCTCTTTGCCATTTGAGAGCCTTCCTCTGCAGCACTCTGCACTTCTCACAGGCAGAGCCCCCTGGGCCTGTGGATTTCAAAATGTTCCCCTCTTATCCCAGAGACCAGTTGAGCAGTTCTAATGAGCCTACCAGCCCGAAAGAGGTGGATTTTCCACACTCAAACTTTTCTTGTGTGTGTGAAACCCTACTTTGCCTCTCTCTGGTACGCTTTCCTGTCTGTTCTTCAGTGTGCCTTCAGAAACTTTGCTGCACCTGGGAGAGAATCGTATAGATGGACCCATGAACAGAGGGGTGCAAATGGGAACTGCCTAGATCGGTTAACGTCCGTGTTACTCAAATGTAATGTTATGAAATTCCAACACGGTGAAAACAATCCATTCATATGCGCTCAGTTAATGCACCTTATTGATGGGCATTTACAGTGCCTGTCAGCTGAGTATGGTTCCTTGGAGCTGTTCAGTCAGATTCAGTCAATGTTAGTTAGACTCTTCTCACTGGAAAATCAAAGGTGCTTAAGCTGCAGATTGCAAAGTGAATCATTTTTATTGGATTAAACTCCCATTATCCTGCATGAGAGTGGATGGGTGGTTATGGGCTCAGAATCATCCAATCACGGAAACCACTGGGACAGCTAGCGCTAACTGGTCCCTGGTTGGCAGATGGAAAAGCCAACGTCTGACTGGGCTGCAGACACGGAACGACCCTGTTCTTTAAATGTGATCCTTCCAGATGACAGTAAAGATGGGGGTGCCATTGCTTGCTCTGTGAATTAATAGAGGAGCTCAATGTTAGATTTGCTTTTATGAACAATTACCGGTAATTTAGAGATGGGCATGAACCAGAGCTCTGGTTTTAAGCATCCTGTTGCTGTAATGGACAGAACAAAACCCCACATTCAGAAGAGTCCCAAACTGCAATGTTTGCAACCCAACATTTCCCTAAATCTGCATGTTCAAAGATAATCTGTGATAAACTCTCTGCTTTTCACGTGTTTCTGCAGCACCTAGGACAAGAGAGCTGGATCTTGACTGGGGCCCCTGGGACCTACTGTCATGTTAAATAATAACAATGTCAAGCTGCAAACTCTGACCCCTGGATGGGGCCAGATCCTCAGCTGGTGGAACTAGGCAGAGCTGCTCTGAAGTCAGAGGAGTATTGCTGATTTATACTAGCTGAATATCTGGCCCATAGTATCTTGATTGTGGCTAAACTCAAATTAAATTAACTTTAAAACATTCTTAGAGTTAAAATAAAAAGGAGGGTGTGACAGAGTCAGAAGGTGGTGGGTGTCTCCCCCTTGTGATTTCAGGTGCCAGTGACATTTGATGACATCTCAGTCTATTTCAATGAGCAGGAATGGAAAAGCTTGAGTGAATGGCAGAAGGAGCTTTACAAGAACACGATGAAGGGGAATTATGAGACCCTGATCTCACTGGGTAAGGATCCGTTTTCACTCCTTTATTAGAAGTGGTGAGATCTTTCATGGACTGGATTTCCTCCCGCTCACAGTTCCTTAGGTTTTTTTTGCTGGGCCAATGCCATTAGATGTTTAGGAAAGCTCAAGTTCCTCACATCCTTCTGTGGAAGAAGTACCAAAATATACACTGTTGGGCCTAAGGCCACCACTTCCTCTTATCCCATACTAGAAGCACAGTGGGATCTACATGTTCAAGTTCAATCTAGATACAGAAAGTTGCTAGTTTCCATGTCAGCTGTTGATGCAAAATCTCTCCAAAGAGAAACAACTGAAGAGTCAAGTCCCGGGTAATATAAACCCCAAGCAGGTGCAGATCCAGGGGAAGCATAAACCAGTTAGCACTGAGGATCCCGTCTGCACTGGGGAAGGAACAGTGCTTTAACTGGCATTGTGGGTTTTCCCCCCAGCATGACTGATTTTGTGTGGACAGGGACAGAATAGCTAATTAAAATTCACCGTTCTTGAGGAATTGTTGTTGCCCTCGGTGACTAAAGATGATGCTGATGACAGTGTTACGTTGGGGTCTAAAAGGCCGATGTGAGAGTGTCAGTCCTTTCCTCATCGAGGGCATCTGTAGCTCCGTATTGAGGAAGGGATTACGCTCTGTGCCTGCCGAATCCGCTGCTATGTATGACTCGGCACCTCAGGATCATGATCTGAGTAACCCCATAGCCGATTGCTCGCCAGCGCGATCTGTCTATTGCTGACAACTCCCAGCTGCAATGTTGCACTGCTTCAGATTGTGCTGCAGTGTGTCCTTGAAGCGTTTCTTCTGGCTGCCTCGTGTATGGTTCCCCGCTTCCAGTTTTCCATTCCACAGCTGCTTTGGCATTCTGGTGTCCTCCATCCTCAACAGCATAGCTGTGATGCGATGAGCGTGCGTCAATCCCTGTGGAGTTGCTCTGTTCTTGAGTAATATGCTGTATTGACATACAATAACTCTTGCATATAGGGACCCTTTCCCCCTTGGTCAAATGACCGTATGGTGTAAAGAATGCTTGGAACCAACTTAGAGTCCAACTCCCAGCCCCTGCTAAGAACAGAGGAGGAGGGTGTTGAATGATTGCTTCACATCCCCCACAGTAAACACCATCCCACAGTCCAACTCAGGCTCTGGCATCAAGCCTCGAAACAACCAGCCATTCAGTCATTCCCAAAGGAGAACGTAGAATGAACCTCCTCCGGTGAAAGAGCTTCCAAGATCTTCCCCGGAATCTGGCCTCTCTGGAGCAGTGTCAGCAGTTTGGATGATGAATCCAGGCTATTCGTCCCAGCCTCATTATCCATAACATGGGGAGCGAAAAGAACCAGCGTTTGGGAGTAGAGACAATGGGGCCCTGATCTTGTTTGGAGCCTCTCGGTGCTATTATATTGCAGGTAATAACAGCGATGACTGGGAAGTTAATGGGCCTAGTCACAGCAGTAAGTGCTGTGCTTGGTAGTAAGCACCTGCAGGATTGGCCCCTCACTAGACAATGTTTAAGTAAACCAGGTTCTACTTTTCATTGAAACTGATTGGTTATAAATGTGATTTTTTTTTTAATAGCTAATGAATATCTCAGTTGAAAGGATTCTTTTAATCCCTGTGTAACTGATCTGAATAAAACATCCTACCGTATCCCACCTAATATCCTCTCCCATGAACAGACTATGCTGTTTCTAAACCTGACATCCTGTCCCGGATAGAGCGAGGGGAGGAGCCGTATATCGGGGATCCGCAGGCCTCTGAAGAAATGAAAATCTCTATTGAACCGTGTGTCAGTGAGTAATGGATTAAAATACAGTAATTTAGAAAGAGCACGGGAAGGACAAAGAGAGAACCAAAGTTCTTGTGAACCTCGGTGGTTCTAGCTTTCAGACATTGTAATGTGTTGCCAGCAGCTAAACAGATATTCGATAAACATAATGGAATTCTCTCTCTTTCCTCTCCCTCCCCCCCCGAGCAGATTCTCCCGTTGCTGCACCTGGCCGGTTGTGCCAGACCGAACAAGGTGCAGAGCTGTGTGTTGGGGAACAGGGCGATGCTAAGGAAAGAGGTGTCCCTGCAGACCGCAGCACAGGTCAGTAATGGATTGAAACCATTCCAAAGAGTAAGATTCACCTCTTCAGACAGGGCACCTGCACAAAGGGGCTACACATCCCGTAAGTCCCATTGGGCTTGTGCTGTCCCGCTACACAGGGGTGAGTGAAGTAAAAAGTGGCAATTCTGCCCAAGCCTGACACCAATTGAATGCAACAGTAACAAGATCAACCACATTTTCCGACTTACAAGAGCAGCTAACCAACCAAAAATAATGTAACTCGACAGTAGCTCACATTTGGGCCTCAACAACTAAAAGAAATTAAAGCTGTTGGAACAGCCAGAGTCAGGCCAAATCCATTCCTTGGTCGCCTGCTGAACAGCTGTTCTCAAACTACGCTTGGAGTTGTGAGTTAGTGAAGAGGAAAAAGTGCGAGACGTTTGTATCAGTGGGGTAAAATAAATGCCTCTGAAATAGACACATTGATTGACAGCAAAATGAAGGTAATGGTGCGGGAGTAATCAGATCTACCTCAATGTACAGTATCTAATGCCAGCTTTTAACCACTGCCTAACAGCATGCATGCACTTACCACTCTACATTTAACATGTTTGATAGAAGGAAAGTTATTGATCTTCTGTCAAAATGCAGGATAACGGGTAGAAATATTTACCTCCAAATACCCATCTCCTTATACCTGCTTGCACAGTGTGATCAGAGATGAAAAAAGTGGTGGGATTCTTCCCAAGACCCACTTCCAACCTCCGCTTTGCCGTTTTGTGACTCCACAATGGATGACTCAGTTCATTACGTGATACTTCCCCTTGTGAGCTTTGATCAGCTGTGAAAGTTTAAAATGTTGGGAGTTTAGTTGCCATCAGTAGGCTCCAGAGGCAACACCTTGTCAATTTGAATAGGAGCAGTGTGTATCTTTCCGAGCTATTGTTTCAAGCTGTTTGCACACTCAAGCAGATATAATTGTGTTGATTAAATTCAGTCGGCATGCTACCATAAGTGCCAGATTTTTTATTTATTTATTTATTTTTTAAATGAAAGCTTAGATTCTGAAGCACAAGGTAACAGCAACCAGGAAATGTGGGCAGGCTGTCGTAGCCACTACAGACCGACCCAATTCAACCTCTCCTTATATATACCTGTACAGTACCTTCTAATTTAGCTAAGGCATTAGTAATACTCCCACTCTGTACTGATAGCATCAAGCCATATGTATAATACTATCTCCTTATCTATACCTGTGCCATTTATCGTGTGCTTGTATATACCTATTGTCTTTTGTATCACCAAGATCGCCTATACCTTCCCTTTTGCCAGTGTGTAGTTCAAAGCAAAGTTAGGGCTTGATGCAGAAATTGTTGGGTGATTTTCTTTGGTCTGCATTATGCAGGAGGTCAGGCAAGATATAATGGTCCCTTCTGGCATTAAAAATCTATGAATCTGAATACTTCAGTGTGGTTTGATGCACTGTCTAGAGTCTGCAGCACTAGCTAAATGATTTTTAACAGTGACCTAAAGCTCTGTAATGTCGCACATGTGGTTATACCAATTGCCCACCTTTGGTCTTACCTCTGTGAGCATTCTCCGGATATCCACCGAGCGTAAAGAAAGAGAAACTAGCCTGCCAACAAAACCTTTGCTGGCTTCTACAGATTGTGTAATTCCCTGTCCATCTTGGGTATTTCTAGTGTGTCCATTGCTGGAGTAGCTAGGCCCTTTTATCATTTTCTACCATATCTATTTATATTTCTACAGCATCCATCGCTGCACTAAAGCACTTGTTACATAGTCAAGAGATATGAGAACACTTTCCAGAGTGTCCCCTTCTCTGTGAAACTAATCTCTGCCCGTGTCAGCACTTAATAGGAAGGGATGGACAATCATGATGTTATTTCTAGTTTAGCCCTTGCGTGTGTCTGTTCAGATTAAAATCGCTCCAGGTGCTTGGTAAGAATGAGTCAGTGAGGTATATGAATAAAACACAGCCTCTATTTCCTCTTTCCAGGAACCAATTACACAGTCTCCGGCTGTGATGTTTTATCATGGATTAAACGAGAGGAACAGTCCGGTGCTGAGAATCAGGAACGCGTTGGGGAAGGAGAGCTCTCGACAGACCCCAGTGCTGGTGAGTGATGTGCTAAGCTGCCCAAACAGGGAGTGAAATCCAGTGAAACCTTTGGCCCAGACTCTGGCTGGTCCCTGGACAGATGAGCAAGAGATTATAGTGCAAGGAGCCTTCTCCTATCCTGGCAGTTGCAATCCTTGGTGCTGAGGTTGCTTCCTACTAGTCCCCCAGTGAGCTGTACCCCCAAAAAGAGACAATAGGTCCTTACCCCCTCCTCCCACCACTTCCACACCATCAGCAGGGCTGGCCAGCAACAGAGGTGAGTGCACGCTGCTCCCGCCAAAGGGCTGGTGCAGACTCTGGCCTCCCAGGGAGCTCGCCTGGGGCAATGCTGTTCTGCACAGCTCCATGCCTATCGGTACCACCTGCCCCTTTATGGACGCAGCCATCACCTTTGGATTTCCACCCCTCTCAAGTTCTCCCGGCTCTGAGCCCTTCTGCATTTGTTTCCTCTGGCTCCTCGGTGAAATGTTTGTAGCCAAGCAGAATGCGTGTCTCCTCCAGCCCAGAAACAGCACTGGGTTCCGATCAGTTTACGTTTCCTTGTGTAGTGTTTGTGGAGATTAGCAAAGCAATACGTTACTCTGTCTGCCATGAACAGGACGCGCAGCTTCTGCACGCGACGCTTCGTGCCGGAGGGACGTCGAGGAAGAGCCAAGTGTGCGGGATATGCAGGTGTTGGAGGAAAAGCGACTCCATACAGAGCTCTGCGCAGGTGAGATGGATTGTAATAACTTCGATAGGCTGTGAAATAACAGCTGGAAATCCTCTTTCCCTCAAATCCAGGAGACGATTTGCAATCGCGTCGCTGTCAAAGGCAACTATTACAAGAGAAATGCTGTTTCCTAAGCTTGACAGTCGCATGATGTAGCTGAGTTAACATGATCAGAATCTTCACCTATGCACCTAGTTCTTAGATCAAAACTGTGAGCCCAGCATTGCATTAACACAAGACTTATTTTGCATTTAATTTCTTTTTTCTTTTTCTTTTAAAGAGACAGAAAAGAGGAAAAAAATAGGGGAGGCGGGAGAAGCTACCTGTGCTGCTATTGAGATGTGTCTGTCGGGTTTTTGCAACGCCGTACGTTGTGTTTGTTCGCAGCACTCAGTAAATCTATCAAATGCCCGGCAGCAGCATGGGACAGGGTAGCACAGTGTCAACTCTGCAGCTGTATTGAATCACGGACTAACTATTTAGTAGACATTTTTACAGCACGTTCACAAAAAACACTTTTTATGTGTTAGGACTTTAGTGTTTAAAACCCCCCCCCCCCAAAATGAACTAAGCAGTTATTCCTCACTGACTAGCCACACGTGACATTTGAAATGGGCTAGATCCTCAGCTGTTGTAAACTGGTGGAGCTCCATCAAGGTCAATGGAGGAATCATAGGTGCCGACTTCTACTGGCGCCGGTGGATGCTCGACTCCCCCCCGGCCCTGCCCTGCCCTGCCCCCTCCCACCCCCATTCCAACCCCTACCCCAAAGGCTCCGCCGACTCCTTCCCCAAATCCCCACCCCAGCCCCACGCCTTCCCCACCTCCTCCCCTGAGCGCGCCACGTTTCCGCTCCTTCCCCCTCCCTCCCGGAGCTTGCTACAGCTGTTTGGTGGTGGCAAGCGCTGGGAGGTAGGCGGAGGAGCGGGGACGTGGCGTGCTCAGGGGAGGAGACGGAGGTGGGGCAGGGCAGGGAGCTTGGATGCCGGTGGGTGCAGAGCACCCACTGATTTTTTCCCCATGGGTGCTCCAGCCCCGGAGCACCCATGGAGTCGGCGCCTATGGGAGGAATGACAGTTTATCCCAACTGAGAATTTGACCCACAAGTTTAAGATACTACTTAGCGCCAATATCAGCAGCAAAATTACAAAACTGAGAAGGTTAATGATCTTTTTTTCCATAAATGTCCAGACAGATCTCACTCAAACTTTCAGAAGGGGGAAAAAGAAATCTCCTTTGGTTTCAGACCATGTATGAAAAGTTTCAGGGCAAAAGGGTAACTTTTGAAGACTGAGTTCCTGAAAATAGGATTATTATGGGAACACAATTACAACCTTAACTAAATAGTTTTTGCTCTCCAGTTGACTAGACCTTCTGGACTCAGCACTGACCCTTCATACGCCCTGGTACTTAAATACACCCTTTTCCCAGAGCTCCACCCAAAGGTGTGAAGCTTCTGGTTTACAGACATGTTTTCAGGCCAGAAATCTCCTCTCAGTTTAGATGCTAATGGTCTGATTTTCAGAAGTGCTGAGCAGGAAGGGGGGTTGCTCTGCTGATTTGAAAACCAGGCCCTAGACTGTTTCGTGTGCGCACTCATTATTTATCTTGGGTAAAGTTTTCAAAAGTGCCTAAGTCCCAGTTTCAAAAGTCTCTAGTAACTTTTCAAAACGGGACTAAGTTTCATAAGTCCCCTGGGCTCTTTTGAAAACTGTACCCCTTGTCTACTTTATCGGCCAAGTTCAGTAAGCTGACACGTTTATCTTTTCTGCATCGAGTCGCTGAATCAGCTGCGAATTCCTTTCTCTGGCTCACGCAGGCCAAGGGAGGGATGTCTCTGAGTCTCTCTCTATTGCTGCAGATGAGGTGATTGTGATGAAAACGGAGATGCAGGAGCATGAGGAAGATCCTGAAGACTTGGAGCCGCGTGACATGCTCCTGGGAAGTTCAGGGGAAAGTGTTTCCCAGAGTCTGGTTGCTACAACAGCCTGGGAGGGTCAGTGCGGCTCTGTAACGCCACCAAGGAGCCCGGCAGGCATTGTCTTGGAGGAGCCGACTCCACGTGGAAGAGAGTTCGGTGGTATCAAGCCTCTCCGCGTCCATCAGGCAAGCCACACGGGAGGGAGGCCGTATATCAGGTGTACTAAGGGTGGGAATTGCTTCCGGCTGAAAGTGAGCTTTGGGAAACAGCACAGGAGCCGTGCCAGAGAGAGACCTTGTCAGTGCACCGAGTGTGCCAGGAGCTTCCGGTGCCATTCGGAGTTCATCCGCCACTATGCGAGCCACACTGGGGAGAGGCCGTACAAATACACCAGCTGTGAGCAGACCTACAGCCGGAAGTGGTTCCTTCTGAATCACCGACAAGTCCGCGTGGAGGAGAGGCCATTCCAGTGCGTTGTGTGCGGGAAGAGCTTCCGGCTGAAGGGGAGTTTCCTCAGACACCAGCGGGGCCACGGGAAGGAGAATCCCCAGGATTGCACGGAGCACGGCAAGGACTGCAGCTGCCACGCCGAGCTCTGTGCGGGCCAGCGGCTCCAGGCTGGGGGGAAGGCCGGCCAGTGCACTGAGGGTGGGGAGACGTCTGCTCAGAAGCAGCGTCTGCCCAATGGCCAGCAAGCGTGCTCTGGGCAGAGGCCGTTCCAATGCACCATCTGCGAGAAGAGCTACAAGGTCAGGGCCAGCTTCCACAAGCATCTGCAGAGCCACGAGACCGGGACGCCCTGCAAGTGTGCAAAGTGCGGGGCTGACTTCCCAGGTACGACGGCACCACAGGATCAGCAGAGGGCAGACCAGACAGAGCAGGCTTCCCCAGGGCAAAGACTGGAGACCGGGAAAACACCAGGGGGTGGGATGGGTGACTAGGTTGTAACTAGCGCGTCACGTCCAGACCAGTTCATCCCTGCGCTTGGTAGGCTGGAAAAGCGCCCACAACCTCCTGTCGGCCTCAGGGCTGGAGTGTGGGTGGGTGGGGTGGGGCTCTCCCTGGCCAATTGTAAATGACCCTGTTGGGCAGCAGTCTAAAGGACTGCTCCCCCGGCATCTCATCTTCCCGCAGGCTCCCTGGCCAAACTCGTGAAGAGTGTCTGATCTCTGCTCCGCACCAGCTGACTAAAGCAGGCAAGATTGCAGTGCTTGCGGCAGCCCCCTCTTTGCTCGCTCGACGCTGCAGGGGAGGCAGGATCTGCCGAAGGGCAGGTGGTGTAAAAGCTGCTCTCTAGCTCGCCAGAGCCTGAAGAAATCTGCCTGCATGAAAGAGGTAACTGCTGCAGTTCGGCAAATACCTGGTACCTTCATGGTAAAAACCTCGGAGTGCTGAGTTCAGATCCTTCTTCCTAGGTCTGCCTGACTCCTCCCCTTCTCAGGATCATGCTCCCCCCCGGATCCCTGGAGCGGTCTCCATGTTCTCATCTGCACAGAGCCATTTCTCCTCTCCGAGCAACCCCTGCCCCTTCCTCCTCCTGCCAGTCAATAATCCCCACTCCTGCTCTGTTTTCCTGTGCCGTGTCTTGTCCTACTTCGCTGGTAAACTCTGGGGCCCTGGGGCTGTGTCCGAGTCTAGGTCTGTGCAGCGGTATCTATATGTGCCACCTTGCTGTATAAATGACTTCTAAAAGCATCAGATCGAATGTTCACAAGCTTGCCCCACAGTTCACAGCGAGCTGGGCTGGTGGGGCAGCAGGTCTGGATCCCGAAGAGTAGAGTCAGGGCTAGGGATTAGGTCAGAGTCAATGGGGCTGAAATCTCATCAGCTGTTCCTGCAAGATTTGTGTCCTAACACCTGCCCTCCTAGTGGGAAGGTGTCGCTGTCCTGCAGTGCCGGAGCCCTTCTCTCGCTGGCTCTCCTCCAAAATAGGGTTCTTTTGGTCCAAGGTTCAGACGATAATCTCAGCATTAGGGCTGCACCTGGCCTGTCCTCCTCGAGTTTTGTTTGTTTAGGGTTTTTTTTCTTGCATCTCTCTGTGTGGGTTTTTATAGGGACTTGGGTTCTCACGTGTATAATGGCAGCTAAACCCCATCATCGCTCACTGGTGGGAATGGCTGATGATCCTTCCCCATCATGAATGGTTTGCGGGGAATAATGGGGTGTTATGAACACTGAGAAGCTGGACTTGGATAGCGTCAACGATTCTCCCAATGATGCTACGGTTTGGGAGCAGTTTCATAAATACTCTGAGCATGGAAATTCCAGGTTTGTAAAGTTATGGAAATGGTCCAGTTTTTCTTATGTAAGTGTATATTGCTTCTGATACCCCTTCCACTCGCACTGGTGTTTTAATAGCACCAGATGACTTACTTTCCCCTCTACTATTGCTGGGTTCCATTTTGCTTTTGCTTTTTGTACCATATGAGGCTTAATTTGGTTTTATTACTGGGTGGCCTGTATATAGTCTGCATCCGAATTGTCTTGAAATGGATATGTTTGCCATGCAAAGCTCTTGTCTGCCTTTCTTCTGTACCACTTTGTCTTGTCTTGTAACCTGGATGACAAATCTGTCATGTAACATTGTCCGTCTGACATTTATTCTGCTAAAAACAATTGTAACAAAAGTGAAATGGACATAAAACATATTGATTCAAAAAAGAATTGTCCATTGTGGTGAGGGTTGGATGTGGTGACTACAAAAAACAGACGTGCCTCTTTGGAGGGCTATGGTAAAAACACACCATTCCTAAAGGTGAATTGCAAAGGGGATAGAAGAATTAGGTGTGCACCCTCTTAGGTTTCTTTATGGTGATGTATACAAAAGACCTGAAAGATTTTCATTAGTTTCCAAAGAACGTTTCTTTTTCCTGCTCGACATCAAGTTTATTCTTCCCTGTTTTTCTAGAGGTCTTTTTGGAAGAGCTAGAGATGTAGATTGGGAGTTCTGTCAGCACTTAACTAGAAGAGCGAAAATGCTAAATATTTAATAGTGCTCTTTTTTTCCCGTTTTTGGTATTTGAGTTAAATGGCATGGAAGGTAAATTGGGTGCTCCTGTTTTCCCTGTCTCATAAAGAAAAGCAAGAGGATATCAAGTGAAATTGAAAGGCAACTAATTTAAACCTGATAAAAATAAATGCTATTTTACACAATAAATAATGAGCCAGTGGAACACTCTGCCACAAGATATTGTCAATGCCAGTTTCGTAGTAGGGTTCCACAAGCATGATTCAATGCTTATACAGATAATGAGAACAGCCACAATTACACTTATTAGGATAACAAGATATAAGTGATCTAAACTCTCTTATTTCAGGGAATTTATTCTCCCCTGCCCCCAATTTATTATTTATACTATGGTTGAGCGTACAGGCCTCAGTCAACGATGAAGGTGCCATTGGATAAACTTGTCACGAACTGCCTGGGATTAGGAAGAAGCTTCCACTATGGAATTTGTTGTTCCCCTGAAGGAGCTGGTATTGGTCGCTGTCAGAGATGGACCATTGGATGTGGATGGAGAACTGGTCTCATCTGGAACAGCAATTCTTTTGTCTCAGACTTCAGTCATCAAGACAGTATATGAGAAGCAGCACATTTCAATCCAAAACCCTAGCTCACCTAGAATTTGGAGAGCAAAAATGAGCACCTGAAACTATTTATAAAGCATAATGTCTCGGTGCATTACTTTAAGTATGAGTTGTCCTATTGAAATCATAGTTGAGAGTTGGTAAAAGTTAATGCTTGTAATGCTGTGGTAATCTAAAACCAGCCAAAGAGAGCATGTGTTTCAGAATCTAGTGTTTTTTATTCAAGTTATGGCTGCAGGTCTCATGATTGCCAAGATACACTCAGTTCAAGTTTCCAAGGTTAAGGGCTGGTCTTCACGTACACCGCTGTAGTGCTTTAGCGCCAATGTGAGAGCTTCTCACATGGGTGTCGTTAATTCACTTCCCTTAGAGGCAGCAGCTATGGGGGTGGGAGAAGCTCTCCTGCCAACAGCGCTGTCGATGGGCGGGGTTAGGTGGGTGTAACTATCACTTGGGGAGTGGATTTTTCACACCCTGGGTATGTCTTCACTACCCGCCGTATCGGCGGGTAGCAATCGATTTATCCGGGATCGATATATCGTGTCTCGTTAAGACGCGATATATCGATCCCCAAACACGCTCACCGTTGACTCCGGAACTCCACCAGAGCGAGGGGCGGTAGCGCAGGCGGTGGGGAGCCGCGGCCGTCGATCCTGCGCCATATGGACCCCAGGTAATTCGATCTAAGATACTTCGACTTCAGCTACGCTATTCGCATAGCTGAAGTTGCATATCTTAGATCGATTTCCCCCCCCCCCCCCACGTCGTAGACCAGCCCCCTGAGTGACATAGTTATACTGATACAGGTCTGTAGTTTAGACCTGGCCTAAGTCATGCAGTGTGATTTTCTTGTGTTGGCAGACTGTCTGAAATGACTCACCCTACATATCTGTATGGGGTGCTACCTCTGGAGCCTAACGGGTAATTTAAATGTAAAAATCAGGGTCTGCTACTCATTTTAGCAGAAACATCAAACTAATGTGCTTATCCTACAGTCTGAAACTGCCTTTAATGTCTCAATTCGTGCTAATCCTCCAATTTCCAGCTGCCTGAATCTGTCCCTCAAGACAACTTCAATGATGCGTGGTTGATATAAAAATCTATGGCCTCTTGAATGCTGAAAAGGTGGGGGCAACATAAATTGTGCTCAGTATCCAAAGGAATAACATGCAGGCTCCTGTGCTGATCATACTGTTCATTTCATATTCCGCTCAGTTAACAAAATCTAGGCCCAGCTCCTTAGGGGGTGTATCACCCTAGTTCAGCTGAAGTCAACAGAGCAAGGCTGCTCTAGGCCATCTGAGGACCTGACTGGTAATTTCTTAATTTAAACTAAACTGCTGTAGCCTCCGGGCAGCCTGCTGCAGAATGTGGTTTAGTTGTGAGGGAGGGTGGAGGGCTGGGTTTGGAAGTCGCCCCCCTGAAGTCTTTCCACTGTTCACAAGAGCAAATCGAGGGAGGACTGAGCCCTTGATCGTCTCCGCAAGGTTGCCAACTTTGGCTGGACGAAAGCCTGGAGATTTCATCACATGACATAATCTTTAATTCAAGATTAATCTTTAATTCCTGGAGGGTTGGCAACCCTAGTTCTGTGTGACCCTTCAAAGGCACTGGGCAGGGACTCGCTCGGCAGGTGAGCTCACTGTCTTAAGGGCCCAGCCTGGACCCTGCCCCTAGGGCCAGGTATTTACTACCCGCTGTGGCTATTTAAGGGGATTTCTTTCTGGCCCCTGCTTTAGGCAGCCAGGAGTGCTTGGGTCAGGACAGGTAAGGGTGCAATGGAAGGGCTGGTACAGGAGCTCAGTCCAGGGGACCCTATGGGCCCTGGGGGGCTAAAATCTCCGACTCAATATCCGTATGTTGCAGGGTCAGCGCTGCCTGGCGCTGGGGAGGGCTCGCACACCGGGGGGATGGACAGGCCCTTTGGGGGCGAAGCTCCCAGGCCACGAGCTGCGTCCTCCGCCGCGCCCTGCAGGCGGCGCTGTCCGCTCGCAGCGGCCCTGCGGATTCCGCGCCAGCTGCTTCTCTTGCTGGGACCCCGCGGGCGAGGCCGCGG